AAGGTTATGCTACGACTATTTCTCGTTATTAGGTTTCACGGCTACATTCATTCCGTTCGTTTTTTGCGCTTTTACGCAGCGTTTTCCTCTCCTTCTCTCACCTTTGAACATTCGGGCCCGCGCGCGTACGAAAGTGCAATTTGGCTTCTTCTACCCACACCAATTTGTCTAATCCTTCTGCCCATCTGCGAACGGCCTACGAACTTTCTAACACTGGCTAATCTTTATTCCGTTTGGTCTCAGTTCGCCACTCTAAGAGCAAAGGTGGAGTCAATTGAGAGCATGCTCTTACCGTGCGATTCACTGATCAATGATATATCAAAACAGGGCCGTCCTTGAGGATAATGCATTACAGAATGATTCACGTAATTATCACTCATTTGTAGGAGGTAAAATTCTCTATCGTATAAGATATTTGGCTCTGAAAATGTTCACTACAAAAGAACTCCAGACATGGTATAAATTAGAAAACTATCGGTAAAACGAGAGTTGCACATTCATGTAAATGTGTTCATCTCCACTCCACACGATGCGATTTGCAGTGACTCCGCCTTACTTTAAGCGATCTGCGCCTATGGCAACTAGTGTACACACCGTTTTGCCGTGCATTAAATTTCGTAATTTTTCATTTGTGTGATGCAATTTAGCAATTAAATTCCTTCGAAGCGAACACGCTTCATTGATTATTTCACCTACCTCGAACTGTAATGAATTCGCATCAGTCAACTCTTCTGACTTGATTTACCCACTTAAACGCACTCAATGCTGCATATCCAACTATAAGAAACGACTCTAAATTTTCATTTCACACAGTTAACTTATTACTTCTGCATAATCGACTATTTTAGTCATTATTCATGCCAAAACCTCAATTTTTCAAAGTATTTCAAAATACGTCAAAATTATGAACCATTCACCAAACAATGTTTCTGGTGCCTACTCGTTTGTTTTCTAATCACGCCATATTTTCAGAATCCGTCATCCCATTGGCATTGAAAACACCCAATTTGGTGAAGATTTCTTCTTTTTTCGAGCTTAAGATAAAAGATGGGGAAACGCAAGTCGAAGAGAAAGCCACCACCAAAGGTCAAACCAATTATGCCACTTGAAACGCAATTCAACTGTCCTTTTTGCAATCACGAACGTGTTTGTGAAGTTAAAATGTAAGTTAAAATTAAAATTTTTAACTTCGTTCAGAATTTGGTTCTTTTCCCGGTGATCCCGTGATCATTTTAGCCCAGAATCTTAAAAATCTCCTTCAATCATTACCACCCAAAAGCCCAATTCCTAATTCATTTCAATCCATATCAAATGAGAACTTCGCAATCATATATGCAAATATACCACCAAATAGACCATCTTCTTAATAAGGATGTTATTTGTAAAGGGATCGAGAACGGAATGTTGGTTTCATATCGTGTCGTGTGTGTCTGGAGGACTTCCAGACCAATATCAACTACCTTTCTGAGCCAATCGATGTGTACTCAGACTGGATCGATGCGTGTGAACAAGCGAACCAGTGAAACCAGTCAAAATTTATTATGACGTGATTGTACATGGTTTTGAATTTTGATTTGTTTGCATCATTATTATTTTACGATCGTCTTCAATTTCTACTTCAATTCAGGTCTTTGTTTTTATTTTATTGAAACTTATTGTTCAGTTTCAGTTAATTTTTATATGGTGCAACTTTTGTATTGCATATACATACTCTTGTTATATATGTTCCTTGTCTTATTTCATTCGTTATTCTACTGATAAATGATGAACAACTTTTGAAAAAAACTTTGCGCAATACCTCGCTGAAATTTCTTCTGCATTCGCTTTTACTAATCATAACTTTCGCTGGCTGTATAACAGGGTCAGACTCAGAAAAACAAAATTTCAAGTGTTTCATTAATAAATTCAGAGGTTTGACTGATTCGTTTTCAATGTATTGGGTAGGAGTCTGATTCTTCAGTTGCTTATCGTTGTAATTTTGTTCAGATTTTATTCTCTCTGTACACACAAGATTCTGTATCGTATTGCTCTGTCACTTTTGTGACTATGGTGTTTTCATATCGTTATTATTATTATTAATTATTGTTTGTTTCGTTATTAAAACATAAAAAGAAGTTTTGTAGAAGTGTTCTCTTCACTGCAGATTGCGTATATTAATTGTTCCGTATTATTGTTATGTGTTGATATCGGTATTGCAGAAATAATGTCTATTTACACTTCGTCGTTTTGTTCGTTCATAACACCAGTAAAAACAATAATGTTATCAGTTTGTCTGTTGTTGTTGTTATTGCTTATTGTTAACATTACTTATCAAACAACTGAATAAATAAACGATGTGAATCAAGCCGACAGGCAAAATCCGCTTAATAAACACCACGTAATGCACCATTAATAATACTAATATCTTCTCAATTCTGAATGTAATGCATCAAAAATTTGTTAAGCACATTCCAACCGCGTTTCTTTCAACCAGATGAAGAGAAATAGAACACCTCAGAGTTTTGAACTCGAGAGATTTCAAAGTTTACCTGGATTGGTCAGGCTATCTATCAAACGTTTGTAACGTTGCTGACCATGATGCTCTCATTTCCGTTCGCACTGTTTTAGCCTTGATTGACACCACCCCGCTGGCTAGGCGAGTAGGCCAATATTTCAAAGTGAAGCATCTAAATACGCTATCTCAGAAGCGTCCAAATTCAACGCTTGAATAACTCAACGATATATCGCGTGTCATTTGTTCTACACGTTTATTTATTTCGCATTTGGTTAAAACACTTCAGAATTGCACGAAATAATCTCAAACAAACTAACACGCACACACTCCTCATCATAACCAACATGACCTATCACAATACACTAAATCAATATAAAACTACTGGAAAATAGACAAAAACAATGACTGTTTAATTGCTCTCAAATGCACAAAAATTCGAAATTTCAGTTCTAAAACATCAGAACATCGAAATTCCCAAAAGCCTATTCAGCAGGCCATATACATACGATAATAAGATCATATAAAAGATAAAATAATCATTCATATATACGAACACAAATCAAAAACTATAACTATACAAATGGCACTCAATAAAAGCACATCATTCACACTATGCAAATCAGACAAATCTAAAAAAAAGCTTCAAGTAAAGATCAAACAAGTCATGGACTACAAATTTAATCAATGAGATGGGTCAGCAATGCAACTGTAAGGTGTAATGGTAAGTCTGAAGGTGCAGCATCGTTACATTCACAAATTTCCAAACAAATCAAAAAGTGCATACAACCTGGCAGGTATATGTGTCATAAAAAGAGGTTTTTACCCGACTAGGCACTATAATAATGAACAACAAATGAGGATAGCGCAAGAACTAAAATAATCATAATACAAACTGACTTTATGACACCAGGTAAAAATTAAACTCTTCGACGAATACACAACGAATCATCTGACAACGCAATCAAATAGAACCTAAATGGAAACAATAGAATCTTTCACTATAGAATACCTATCAGAAATAGCTGCAATCGTAATCGTAATGCGATAAGATATCTTGCGATAGCGATGGCGTTCTGAACGATTCAGAACAAAACAATAACGATAGGCAACAAACAACTCAATGATAGTTATAGAGTTGATCGACAGTTTCCAGTAGACAACCAACGGACCACGCTTGTGCGGGGCATGACCCTGCACAAAATGCACCCCCTTCGTTTGTCAGTTCAGGCAGCGACCTCCACGCTGACTCTTGTACGTGTTGCCAGTAGAGACCCATGCGGGCTCGCACACTCCTCACAGCCTTATCGTACACTTCCGGATCATTCAGTTCCTTCGCTATCGATAGTTTAGCGCGCAAGAAATAGCCTGCTACCCAAACCCATTCCTATAAACCAATTCGTCACTCGCACATCAATAATAACCCAATGAAAAGATCAAACTCACCGGTCCTTGATGGTAATTCCAACCCTTCGCTGTTTTCTTCACAATACTATCGTCATCGTTATTGTAAAAACCATCGTAATTCCAATCTCTACAATAAGCACACAAATGATACTAATAATGGAAATTAACTTACGTTAATGCAATATATACAAACGTATGTAAAACGCAATGAAATGCATAAAAATCTGAATTACTTCGGATCGAGAGTCTTGATTCCAAGCGGACCAAGCAACTCCTTTTCAGCGATGCATATGGCTGACCATGCGTTCTTTGCAGACATCAGTTTTGGGGCCTGCAAATGTAAAATGTACGAAAAGATTTTGATTTTGCAATCGAATTGTCTCAATAAAATCATGGCACAATATCTGCAATTGCAATCCCTGTTACTGTCCTATAATTAGGTATGTGTAATCTTAATCACTGACGGTGATCAACAGATAGATGCTATTGCCATCTAATAACTCACCACAGCCAATGCAATTGCGAAATTTGGTCTCAGCTGATAATCTGTGTACTCGAAAGTCGATCCATAAGTATCTTTCACTATGAAACGTCTATTCACACATCTCGTCTCATCGTGTTCATCAACAAAGAAACACCGTTCAAAGTTTCCCTTTATTTTTTGTGCCCACTCTCTCCACGACCACTTCGTTGTGCCTATAATATCAACTCAACCAAAAAATATTATCGTTATTGGTGAACACAACAGTCCAAAAAATTCGTTACAGATAGCAAAGATAATTCCGATTACTTTAGATGTAACAATTTTAAAAGAATGGCATTACATTCAAATGATAAAAAGTCTATGAATGGTTTCATACAAGCATTTTAGGTATGTATATCTTTCGCCTTATGAAGAACAGTCGTATCTAAATATCCCTGAAGCCACAATAACCAAAAACATTGAAAGACACGCACCCTTCTGAACACCGTCATACGGGAAGTGTCCTTTCTGATGCAGTATGTCCAAATACTCGACAACTGCATAGGCCAAGCCTTGTAGTTCTACAGCGGCCCCGTCCCGCGGGGTTGCCGGCTGTCCGCGATTACCCGCTCGCTCGGAACTACCCATTTTGTCCATCCAAGTACCACAATTCCATTGGTTTCCTCCGTAGATGAAACCATTTTCGAGATTTACGTAGGCACTCACGTTGAAACCTGTGTTCGTTTTGTTATTATTACGATCACCATTTTATTGCTATTATTTTATCGTTATTATCCTCATCAACCTTGCTTCAAATCTCGGATTGTTCCCCTCTAACGTATCCTGACAATGACAACAATGGTTTGATATGTACTGTTCATTGGGGATATAGCTCAGGGGTAGAGCGCTCCCTTAGCATGGGAGAGGGCTGGGGTTCAATTCCCCATATCTCCATCAAATTTTTGTCGTTTTTAAACTCGTTCAACACTTTGAATTACTCAAAATCTCCATCGGAAGCTCCAAATTTCGACGAACTTTTGCAGTGGAAACTACCTGAATCAGTCATATGCTCGTCAATCTGCGGTCCTGCATTCCTCTCACGGAAGCAGATTCCTTGGAAATGTCGCTGAAGCGCATCATACATTGTTTCGTGCAGTTCTTCTTCCTGAATTCAAAATCATTTTCAATTTGACAATTTTGCAAACAATGTCACAAATTCCAATTCTCCAAACATTCCGTTTTCCATAAATCTTACGAAATATAAATCTTATATAATCCTAAAAATTTCCAATGAAATTCACAAAATCCCTAATTTCTGATAGAAACTTTCACTTCTCCATCAGTCCAGCCCAAAAATTTACAGTTTCTCTCATCCTCTTAATCTCGAATTTATGACAATTTTCCTATCCCAGCTTTCTCCAAAAAACTTCGAATAAACCACTTCCCGAAATTTCCTCACTCAATTCAACAACATTCCAAATGACTCCTTTAAAATTTCCCGAAATCAATTAAAATCCCATTAAATATCACCTTTTCATCCGCACCATAAACAGCATCATCATGCGGATACAGTCGACGGACACGATCAGTAAGAATCTTAATACCATTCGGAGCTTTCTGAATATATTTGACGATCGCATATAACCAAAACCAAACCGCGTCACGACAATTGTAACGAGCAGTTTGACCTTCGGCGAGTAAATTCGGTACGAGACCATGACGCATTGCACCTCCGTACGACACTATCAAATTCCTTAATGAATTTACATCATACACTTGTCACAAATGACCAAAACAGATCGTATGCCATGTTTATGCTTACATTTTCCTGGTATAATCACAAAATTCTGCGTCCCTCATCTAATGCTTGGCCGTGTCATGAATTTTGCTCTTGAAAGACGCGAAAAACGTTAGTACTTCACCAAAAATAGCCAAATACCTCGCATCATCATATCTTCCAGTGACCAGCAAGCATCCAGGTAGTGCAATGAACGTATCACGACCCCAATTCCTCCAGATACCCACTGCGAAGTGCGGCAATCCAGCAGCCAATGATGATGGCAAACGGTCCGATAGATGAATCGAAGTAGACAATGGTGACAGTTTCGCACTTTCGACTGCACCCACAAACGAAACTGAGGACAGTGCCAGGGCACGTACAAATTTTGAGGCGGTCAACAGCGATCTAAAACACATTTACGTTTAATTCTTATTGACTGTCCGTTACTTCATTTATTTACGTGATGCTACTAGTACAGTCGAGATGAACACAACTCTTGTTCAGATGAAAACGCAAAAGGAATAATCAACTCACGGATGCAGTTTCTTCTTCAACTCTTCCAGCGTTGCGTTATAAATTCTCGAGAATATCGCCTCGAAATAGCATGGTCTTAGATAGTATTGCACTTCTTTCAACGGCTCAAACATCCTCTCAATGACCAAACCCAATTCTTTGGTTGGTTCGTATCTCGTCAAACGCTTCACGATGTATTCACATAACCACACACCATCACGCAAATTACCGCACAACGGATGTCCCAAATCATTCTTCTCACGAATGCGATTCAGAACGGGCATTAAACCTAACAAAAAAAAGCCCTTTCATCGCAGATAAAAGATACCACTGTTAAAACCCACAAATCACCACGAAAACAGAAAAATCTCACAAAAAATCAAAAATCGATGTTCTCTGTCTCAAGGTTAAAATGCTGCTGTTGATTTCAATACGACGAATATTCGATCTCTCCTTTCACTACCGTCTAAACAGATTTACCAGAACAAAAACGCAAAACTTTCCCCTAAAAGTTATAACTCAACCAACCCAAATAAAAAACTCACCTTGAAGACCACAATAAACGAACGATCCAAAGTTGGGTATATGGTACGTGCCCGAACCGTAATCGTCCTGTTCTTCTGCCTCACACCGGAATAAGACTCGATTGAATGACTGCACTGACAAACGTTCCAGAGCCGCATGCAACTCTACAATCACCACAATAATGCACAATTCAATCAGTGATAACACAACCAAAACAACACCAACCAACCTTTGTCCAACTGCATATCGCCACCATTTATCATCTTCGTTATTTGTGCTATATTCTGTACTGCTGGCTTGGGTGGCGATATCCTAAAACGACAATAAACTGATAGCTCATCGTCAAAGCGAGGGGAGGGCAACGACAAGTTTCTGCTCAAGCTCATCACTTATTGTTAGACTCAAAATCAGCACAAATCTGCAACAGATCAAATCAATCAGCTAAACACCCAAAAATCAACAACACTTACTTGAACGCGATCACCGAGCCAGCCACGAAATTTGTCAACTCGATATGTCCTATTCCCCCACCCTCAGCACCATTACCAGTCAAATGAACTGTCGTTAAGACCGAATCCTCTGGTTTCACATGCTCTCTCAACATAACGCTATATCCTCGCAGACCGCTCAGTTTTGTTTCATCTGAGATTGATTCATTTCACTGTCAATAAGTGGATGATATCGTGACATTTCCAGATGTTTTACCACTATGTTTATCTTCCCGTTCAAAATTAAATCTCATTTCTGGATTTAGTCTCACATTCAGGTTCACACCTTGACTTACGATTAATATAATCAGGCATTTAGACGCCTTTCAAACTTAACAACTCACCGATTTCAAAAGGATTTTAAAAAATTATGCTCATTTTCAGATGTTCTTAGGGTTTCATCGAATAAACGACACAAAATAAAGAATAATTAAACGATTTCAAAACAAATTACTAATTCAAACCTTCCATTTCTTGTTCAAAACCTTCTTTCGCATGTATTTGTGCCTCGAATAATATTTCATCCAAGGAACCTGCAATGAAAGAAACAACGAACCTGCAAGAAATTTATAAGCCAGTAAACGAAAACAAGCAAAGAACCAACCCTGAAAGTATACATCCCTAACTGGTGGTCTATTCAAACAAATCGCATCCTTCTTGAACGCTGTATGCGCTACCAACACAACTGTGTCGTGTGTCTTTGGATTGTGTCTTGTTATGGCCACGATATCGAAGTTCATTTGATCAACAAATACCTTAAATTCAATCAACTTTCATTAATAATACACAAAACAATGAACATTCATAACATACAATAAATTACTTGTTACCTGAGTGTAATTATTATCCCCCAACCAAGTGTGAAGTTTGTTAATCACTGCACGTGCTCCAATAATGCCTGTTTCAGCATTAACTTCACCCCATTTTGCGTACAGTCGTTTCTCTTTGACAACATCAACCTCAAGTCAACACAATTCTTTTCGTTACTGACCAATCCAACACAATATTCAAATTTCTCTCCTTTCAAACACCATTTTTTAAATGTTTCCAACCAAACCTCAGAATTCTCTCGGAGAGTTTTGTAACTTTCCGTTAACATTCTAAACGAGATGATAAAATCTTTAACGAAGTCAATCAAAATCTTCACAATTCCGAAAGGAATGCTAAGAAATTCACTGAAGAGTATTGCATAATTCCTATCGAATTTCGGAACAGAATGCAGAAATAACCAAAATCACTGCAAGCCGACTAACCTTAAATGTCAACAACTCGTCATATCCACGCGTCGAACCATTCGAGCAACTCGCCATCGCCACCATCGCACTCGTCGGCAACGTATCATAAACTGACCTCTTCTAGAATCGCAGACAATGATCACTATATTAACTACTATTAATAATAATCAACAAACCTCAATCGGAGACGGATTATCGTGCGTCTGATCATAGAGCAATGCGTGAGCAACGATCGAAGATGCAGGCTGTACAGGTCTTTGAATAAACGCTCCCACCACATCCCCACCGAAACGATACACCAATCGACCTTGCTCATGACTGTCAGGTGCATTCTGAGCTTCTGAAATTACATTCATTTTATCAATTATCAACAACAATGACACTTGACACATGGTAATTTTGTATTTTAGGTTGGTAAAATCAAAACGGTATTTCGTATACACTCGCAATTGAATGTGTTGCTTAGTTAGAGCACATCAAGAAATGTTCACACGAACGAAATGCCGTTGTGATTTTACCAACCTGAAATACAACCTAAAATTACCCAATTCAAAAGTTCAGTCAGTCACCTCTAATCAACGAAGTTATTCCAAGTCGATTAACAAAGATATTGTCGAGCTGTTCACCGCCCGTGAACAGTTCAGCTACCACGTACAAATCAGGTCGTACCTCTCGAGCTGCTTTCAGCAGGTACTGAAAATGGAACGACAACAATCACTAATCACTGCAGTCATCAAGAAAAACTGCGATACCTCGGCCACGTGAATCGGTGTGCTGTGGCAGTTGTCGATGCGAACACCATGGAATATGCGTGCACAAGTCTGGCTGAAATGACACTTGACATTCATTCGAACAATTTTTCAATCGAGCAATAATTTAATCAATCAATTTACCTGTACTCCTTCATCATATTCCACAAGAACGGGCAATCCTCGGGTTTATCTCCATATCTCAGCTTCACACAATCACCCCAACACACCAGTTCACGTCTCAAATACACCTCAAATCAAACCAACTCAATACGAATTCTATCACCAATTAAATGCTGAAATTACACTGCTTAACAAGAACGATACTGCTTACCAAATCTGAACCAATCCAAGTCAAACCTGTGATGGATAAAGTGCGAAATTCCTCAGTGGGTCATCATTCATCACCCATCCGTTGAACGCCATCAAATGCTTGGCAGTTGCTTCATCGTACGCGTAATGTTCATCCTCTTCCCACGAGTTCGACGGAAATTTATGCAAAAAGTATCTGAAACGGATATCCACATTCCCAAACGATCAATCCAATCAAAACTCTCAATTCCCACTCCAGCAATATCAATTATCAACTCACGTCGTCAACAATGGAAACGTCTCTGTCAATTCACGTCTTCTCGGTCCTTGCGGATTAACCCTCTCATAGGCGACATGTCCCAAAGCCGCATTAACTCCAGCCGCACAAATATCCGCAGCAATACCGTCAGCTTCTTTATTCAGATGATGTAAATGGTTACGCAATGCTTCGATACATTTATATTGCCGATCCTCTTCCGAACAAGCATCTCCTCTGAAACATCACCACTTCATCTAATCTGAACACAACCCAAAAAATAACTCAACCATCAAAAAACACTGATCAATTTTGAAGCCATCAAAAACCCCAATCAAAATTATACTCAAAAACTTTACAGCCACAAGACCTCTATCATTCCATCATCTACATTTTTCATTGACGTGAAATGTTCATTATTAAACTCATCACCTATTTCTATTGAAAATCCTACGCGCTCGTTGCATATCCAAAGTAAATCCGAATCGTGTCCATTCTTTGCCCACTTCCAACGGTAAATTCTCATCGAGCGTATCTTCAGATGGTCCTTCTGAAACCAATTTGTAAACAAATCCAATGAAACGACACACCACTCTCACAAATCACAAACTAACTTTTAACAATTTCCTCGAACTCTTTCACAGTTTTCTCCACATCAATTTTGAAAAATTCTTCCAATCGTACACGAGGCACTATCTTTTCGGTTAGAATTCTACGTAAAGCCTATAAACAGCAACATGACAACATTAATCAATCGCATCAATAAAATAAAATCCACCTCTAGATGCTGGTCATTCTCAATGAAAGGTGGTAAGCCTTGATCAGTCCACTTGCCATCAGCTATTTCACGACTGAAATGATAATACAAGCGATCCATCACATACGCTGGTCTCAGATGCGGTGAATTTGCACAGTTATACGCACATTCGGGATGTTCCTGTAAGAATAACAATAACAATAAGAACAAGAATAAGCAACTATCAACTATCAAAAAAAAGAAGATCGAGTCTAGCCTCGAGCCAATCCGCATTTTTGGCCGCATGATTCCAGACGACATCTTGAATTGACAGAACACCCCATTCTTTGGCCATTTTCTCCACCAACGCACCAACATCATTTAGAGTGTATTTCTTAGTCTGTAATATTGAATCGAAATTAATGCATAATTTGCAAAATCAAATCCAAATGAACGAATCAAAATCGAAACAAAGCATTCACTCACCGCAGTCGAAAATGCCGGATTCAGTCGTAACGGATTTGCGATTGAATAACTGAAACAGTCGTGGATACAACCTTTATTTACCTCTACCAAACACCAATAATCTCACCTCAAATGCCCTCATTCATATCTAACTATATGCATTCCCTCTAACTGACCCACACCCATCAACAAACTCATCGTTCACTCACCTGCTGTTTGAGATGCCCAATTCATGAACTGGTGTGAAATGAATCATGTTATATCCGGATTCCTTTGCTACTCTTAACCGATCTTCCCATTCCGGTAAAGGTCCCAGTAACTTAGCCAAATGCGTTTGACAAATCACGGAATCCAACGGTAGCGATCGTCCAGCGACCTCAAGTTCGGGTGCTATTTGCAAATAACCACTGCCTGATGCTTTCCTGAATGTCACTTGTCACAATTAAATAACTCTCATTTCTTTGTAGAAATGAATGGATTCGTTAGAATAAGAGCTACTCTCGAGTTCACGATCACTCATATCTTCATAAATCACCTTCAATTAAAACAGAATGACCAAAGTCTCACTCGAAATTTCCGTCCACGAAGAATTCGTACGAAAAAGCTCCAGCTTTCGTGCACACCACCTGAGCGCATGCAGCCAAATCGTCTGCATCATCCGACCACTTAAGTTCACCACTCAGCGAGGTCGTTAACCTCACGTCACGACCAAGCAAACTTGCTCCACGAACAAAACGTACGATCCATCCTACAATTACCTTCTCCAATAATTTCATTACATTCTTGTTTTGATACAGTCCTACAGTAATCTCCACTTTAAATTCCGATTCTCTTTATCGCAGATCAAATTTTCCAAGAGTTCGATCATTTTCCCATTGAAAAATGTGATAATGCAAAACGCGAGCTTGAAGGATTATGAAATCTAAACCTTTACAAAGTCGGATCACAACAGACTCCAGATGAGCGCCTTCTTCCAAGAATATTATTCGTGTTTGGACTGGCTTCGATACGCTCCCTGATACGGTCATTCTTATTTTTGGGTAGTTTACGGCAGTTACTGCTCACAACTGATAGATACCCTGCACGATTGGATCGATTTCTCTGAAAAGTTAGCTTATCACTGAAAGAATATCGATGCTGTAATTCGGCAATATCCATGACTTTTGCAGGATAATGTCCCTCTTGTGTTCAGTCATCGTTCCAATTCCATTACGGACTCAACACCTCTCAATTGCAAACACGATATTTAACGAATGCTTGTATCAATGGTTTTTCGGCATCTCTAACTATACCTTATAAATAACAGACACATACATTCTTAGCAAATTTTCAGAGCTAATAATTACGCATGAAAATTTCCGAATAACTTTACGAAACAATTGAAATTTCACTATTGCTTGTCGAATGAAATGATTTTCTGTCATATTTCGAGTATCGACTACGCGCGATTTAGCGAATCCACGAAAATTTTGACAATTCCAAAGAGGTTTAAAAAAGAAAATGAAGACGAAAGAGGTTATGCTTGGCGGGTTGAAGCAAATAAACGAGAAGAAAGTTATGGAATGAAGAAGAACAACTCAAAGAATGAGCATTAGCTTCACAATTTCACGTTATATACTTAAGCCATTTGTTTTTTGAGTGAGGAAAACAGATGTTCAATGAAGAGTTACGAGTTCTAAGTATCAATTTCGCGAAATTTAAGTATTAAGCTCGAAAAGAGCTCTGAAATGCGAAATTTCAACTAGCATGTATGTAAGCACACCTCAACGAGCGATTTGAGGTGGCTACAGTCAATTCACCAATCCCATTAGCATAGAGAAGCGAGCGTTTCGAATAGCATTCCGAAGACAATCTATTTCGCTTAATGCAAGTCAAAAATGCAAAGAAATAACCCTTAAAATACCTCGAAGTCCATAAAAATGACATATTCGAGCTAGTTAACTGCGCACAAAAGAGAAGTGCTTGTCTTATCTCAATAACAAACTCATTATATTTCACTCTAATTTCACGTTCACCAACTCACTATCAGTATTCTCAAACATGGTAGTTCATTTGTGAAAAAGACTCAACCGAGTGCAGTATAGGTTCACCTCAAACCTCATTATTGATATCACCCTCATTCTTGACTGTTTCAAAATAGATGATCATTCAAAGGTTTCTATTTAACATAAGTGAGCGATTGTCGCTCACATCAATACATCATAATCGCTTGTATGCACTTCAGAATAACAATATCATCATAATTCCTTCATATCATCTTATTAGATGTTTATCACTATAAGATATCTGTCGGAACGTGTAAACCGAAGAGAAACGCTCAGTACTAAAAGGATGTTTATGATATGTCATCTTCAGGTCTTCTAACTATTCAGATTTCATAATTATGCTGACGATGAGAGGATTAAGGATGCATACCACTGTAATATTTATTCGGATGTACTCAGCTGAGAAACTAAACTTTGGATCCTTCCAATACATGTGGGTCAATCTTACTAACCAGTTTACTTACATCTTTAATGCAGCTGTCGTCCTAGACTGGTTATCTTGAGAGCCTCAGAAACCTCAAGAACTAGACCTAATTGAATGATAATTTGTTTACGACTAGAACCTTTCCTCAGAGAACACGAATAAAACTAAAAATATGATGCAAAATGAAAGGAAAGAATGGAAACTTTCAAGATATTGCTTCATAACAGTGGTTCTCACGTTCGGGTGCTCCATTACCCTTTTGATGATCCAGCAGGCCTCCGTTGCTCCCAAATCACTCACAACGGGTAAATTGACTTCCTATGAGAACCACTGCCCTAGACCGTTACGTTTCTCATTATTGCAATCGATTATGATTGCACGAGAAGCTATTGTCTGTGACATGCTCACTTCAAACTAAATTTGATAGATTATCATTCTTTTCAGGCATGTTGTACTCACTCTCATAGCTATCACATGCGAATACCGTTCTCTTCTGTTGTATTCACTCTTATAGCTATTATATGCGAATATCGTTCTGGTGGCTGAGTTTTTCTCATTCACTTCGTCTCATTTCACTTCACAGTTCAAATCAATTATCATTCACTTCGTCTCAATTTCACTTCACAGTTCAAATCAACTTCTCATTCTTTAGCGTTCACTTCACAGTTCAAATCAATTTCTTATTCTGTAGCATATACTATTCACTGGATATTTTGACGAGTATTGACAGCCGTAATCAACAATATGGCAGTCAAATATTATTGCTCACTAACGTTCGACAGTCAAATGATCAGTTATAGAGTGTATTTGATAGAATGAGAATTTGACTTCAATCGCTGAGTGAAAGGAATGAGAAATCAGCAGAAGAGAACACTTTTGGTGATAAAAGCTATGAGAGCAATTGTAACAGCTAGGAAAAGAATGAAAACCTTGTTAAAACGGTAAAAAAATGAATGCTGTTAGGTCCAGACAAGCCAGTGGTACTCAGAAAATAGGAGAATGAAGAGTGTTGCCATCAACTAAGCGCATTTACATACCCGAGTTAAAAAACACCATTACAATGACGTTCTATCATAGTATAACAATTGCACGAAATACTAATTCCAGACCCCTCCATTACCCCTTGACACCTCCAAATTACCCAAAATGGGTAATTTCACCCCTATGAGAACCACTGCTTTAAAAGAACGAAAATACTCCAAAAAGCGGATATGCTTCAAAAGACTGAGAAAATTCAATTGAGAAATTACTTTTTCAGTGTGATCTTCCAGGTTGTTCTTATGCAGTCATTCCCGATTTTTTTCGGGGTCCAAAATATTAAGGTTTCATAGTATCGACCAAGTTTCTAGTGTTCAATATTAAACGTTTAGTAGTGCTGTTTACATGTAATATAGCAGCACCGGATGTACACGAGGTAAATGCTTGATCAACCTCTATTTCTGGATGCATCTCCTCTATGTGAGAGGCCATCATATATACCTGCGAGTTATGTCCCACCAACTTGAAACATTCCTCCGAACTGATATTTCGATTGTTATTTCTTGCATCATTCTGTTGCATTTGAATGGGTGTACCAGATGTGGTTAGGTGTGGCCACATAAAAGTCTAATAGCTGTGCATTTCGGAAATCCATCATCAATTCGAGCCATCAAAGCAGCAAATCGATGCGATAATTATCTATTCCTCATTCACCTCGGACTCTACCAACAAATGCCACATAAATATTATATAGTCAGCTCAGTATTCTCATAGCGGTTTGTTTATAAAAGAAACTCAAACGATTGCAGTATAGGTTCACCTCAAACCTCAATGATGATATCACCCTCTTCTTAACTGACGATTTTATCACCACTTCTATTATCACCATTAATATCGTTGAGTGATTCTGTATAGAGCTGTATTTGTTTCAGGATCGATTGTTTGGAAGCAAGTGAGATGCAGACGAGTAAATCTGCAGGATTTCTACCAAAAGTAAATGGTGCAGATGGCTCAAATTATGAATCGAATTGCTTGGTGCAGCTACCTCAAATTGATTTTAATTATCGTGGAATGAAGATTACGATCTTCAAGAATGGCGACATTTATGACTGTGGTACAACTGTGGTCGTATCGAGACATCAGTTCAAACACTGGATCATTTTTCTGGATCATTTGAGTAAGAAACTGAAACTGCTTGCACCTGTACATAAACTGTTTACAACAGACGGACTGGTCGTTAGACAGGTTCGTTGAAATTTCACTTTTATTTTGCTTTAAGAGTAATTCTGGATTCCGATGTCTGGATTCGTTATTCTGTTCTTCTGGATTCCGTTCTGATCAGCAGTTCATCCGGTTTTCAGTTCGAAGCACTCCAGAATGGTGGTCATTACGTGGCCGTCTCTCAAGGACCGTTCATTGCGATCGAATATGGCAGAGCGATTGTTGAGGGTGGTAATCGAGACCGCGTGAGGGTTTATTTCTCGAGAAATTGTTGTCTGTCTCGTTTGATAAACGACTTCACGAATATCTGCCAATTTTCAGGAAATTTACGAAAAATTGGCACGACGCTTTCGAGAAAAATCGGAAATTTTTTCAAACGTCAGTCGTAAAAAATTATTTGAATTTCAGATTGCTGAAAATCACTCTCAATCCAAATAGAAACAATGTTTATGATAGTAACAATTATAATAATAATAGTGACAATAATAATAATAATAACACGTTCCCTTGGAAATAATAATAATATCTTAAGAATATATTATTCCTTAAGTTTTATTTTAAATATTTATGGTGTGAATTTGAAGTTCAATCCATTTTGTAGAGCACACGTAAATAGATATCACCTGCTAGTGAAAGCAGAGTGCATTCAAAGTATCTTCTCGTGAACAATTTAAGATAGACTTAAATCTAATTGCTTATGTAATTCCCATTACCTCAAATCACATCTGCCACACGTTCCCTTGGAAATGCGTACTTTCAGCGATGGAACGCCGATCCACACTGCATCAAAAAGGATATTGGTACTCTCGATTCAGCCGAATCAGTCGATATTTATTTGCGCCGTTGTGGATACAGCTCTAAAACGGGTCTACCATTCCCCTGGGACGAACCTAAAGTTACCAATACTCATCCACAATCTCAAGTTCCTTCGAGGATTCCAGTCAGAGGTCAACCTAGATGTCAAACCAGAGAAGGTTCCGATTATTCGTATGCGTCAGGATATGGTTCATATGGGCCAGGCTCTGGATACTGTTATGGTCAAGTCCGCGCTCGTAATGATCCACGAATTCAGTGTACGTCAAGTAACATGATGCTCGGGGTACCTTTGTCGAAATCTTGCCCCAAAACTCTGGCTTTAGAACGATACAGTGGTGCTACTGGAGTGAATTGGAGGGATGTAAGTCTCATTCAGAAGATTTATTTGTATTTGTATATATACTATTATAAGTAATATTATCAATATTATGAGCAATAATCAGTTGCTTTGACAGCTGGACGTTGACGGGCAACGAAATGAGCCGATCGTCGAAGAGCAGACTAGTGATCAGCTGTTGATCGATGATGATCAGAATAGAAAGGATCAACAAAATGATAACAATATTAATGATAATGAAACTGTCAGTAATATCCCAAAAAATCCAGATAAATTCACTTCTCTGACGAGAAAATCGCAGCCAAAGAATATCCCTCCTGCTCAGCCACGGATCAGATACGATCCGGACTTTGTGGACTTCGACTTCTTTTCTGGGATCACCTTCTGACGAGTATGATTGTTATCTCTACGTCACCATATACATATCTACGTAACGTTAAAGTAATTCAGTGAAATGTCTTTATCAAATTCTTTTGTATTCAATGCAATATTTGTATTGCCATGAAAATTGTTTATATTCAATAAGATTTGCTTCATTTGTTTGTGATATCCATTTGTGAATGTGATAACGAGTTTGTTGAGTGCAACTAAGATTATTTGTGCGATTAAATATAAAGTACAACAAGTTTTCACTGGTCTGGTGCACTTCTTATATTACTGATTTTTTATTATTATCAGTACCGATCCAGATGCTGATTCGTAATAAATTTGTTTTGAAACTCGTATCAACTAACAAGCTTTTGCTTCAGATCTTATTTTATATAATATAATAATATTCAGTGAATCTTATTAATCAAAAATGTTTTCGTCTACATTATGAATGTCTGCAAAAACAATAATGGATGACGTTCGACTGGGATCATTTCAAGCCATACTGATCAAAACAACAGCAATAACATAATAATAATATCAATTATAAGCAGTTGTAATGAATGTTGATCGTTAATCACTTAAAGCCTTATTTTGCTATTAGATGCGATCACGAATGTTTTTTTCGTAGATTCTCCGGATTTTGATTCAGTCAACAAAACTATTTACGCACAAATAGCAACGAGGGATAATGAATATAGTTTTTTGTTCACAAGGATACAATGGTGTGTTATTATATGTGGATATAGTGGAGGGAGGGGTGGTGCCACCAAGCTCGTTTCCATGGATTTATGTTATGAATATTATTAGTGTTATCATTAGAGGCTGTTTTGCGACACTTCTTAGGGCCACACTGTTTTGATTGCCTTTCTAATATAGAGTAGCGTCTAGACCCGGAGATATTCCATACTGGTAATAGTAAGCATCAGGTGGACATCTTAACAGCTAGTAGATATTGCAAACGAATAGTTATAATCGCGACGCAATCCGTTACTGGATCAGCCTTTGGCTCTATTCAAGTTTTATCAAATCTTATTCTTATTCATTCGTATCGAATCATTCATACACTGATATTTATTGATGCTATCTGGGGGTACTTGATCAGTATCACAATACCTTACTAATATCCGTTATCATATTACTTTATCCTCACTATTAATATTGATATTATAATATTCATTCTGAGGAACGCTGATCGAACAAGAATATTTCTGTTCATCTAAAAGCATCTGTCACTGCGCTGATCAGCGACTCCCTTTATCAAAATGTTAAACGACAGTGAGTTCCGTCCCCGAAGCCAGTCGGTTCAAACTCGTTTAGGTCCAATAATCCAAATCAACACTTCACGCACCGATCGTGGTCCCGACAGATCCAATAAAAGAAGTAACAGTAATACTGACGATATCACTGATAAAGATGATACCTCAATAAATGCATCAATGCAATCTCTCATATCTGGCCAAAGGAATTCTCGGCATAACTCTCAGTCATCACAAGACTCATCGTCGTGTCATTCACAGCTGTCCTCTCCAGGACCGACGGCATTGAAACCCTTGAAAGTACCACCCAGTTTTGTGTTATCTTCTATTGGTCAAGCACAGCGAAGAGATTCCAGATTCAAGGTGAGCGTTTTTTACGGCTTTGTGGATTATTTTGATGTTTGGAGTCATTTTGATAATTAATTGTTAATTTTGATTTCTTTATTTGCTAATTTATTCTGAATTATTAATGATGGCCGTTTACCTATCTAAAAAAGTAATAAGACATAAAGTAATAACTAAGAAACTTCAAGTATTTTTGATCACTGATGTAGATGTTATGCTAAAGATTACCATTCATTGAAAATGTTCTCATCGAAAAGTTTTTCATTTAAGTAAAGTTCTAATAATTTGAATAAAAACATGTTGAAAGTACTCAGGAACTTTATAAATGGCAGTGAAATGTGTTATTTCGTGAGGCGTGTTGACAGTCAATATGATAGTAATTTGCGTGACTATAATTGAGTAATGTTAATAATAAATTACAGGGCAAACGACGTCAAAGTTGTTTCGAGACCCTTCTGGCCGAACGGTACCTGAATCACGCAACTCATGCAGATGCAAAACTGACACCTTCGCTAAGTGATGGCCTGAGGAGAAGCAATAGTGATAAACATAAATATTTAAGAAATAATGATAATAATCACTTAAGTGATGGTATCGACCAGTCTGTGAACAATAACTATGAGACTTGTGCTCAGTTTATTGAATCTGTCAGACGGGAATTTGTAAATCTTTGAATTGTTAGCATGGCTTGTGCTATTACAGTTGCTATTATTAATGCTATTATGAGATTATGTGTATTTGCATTGTTTCTGCTCGATATCATACCGCATCATTGATTGTCACAAGTTTGTATCATTACCTCTACAAATTATATTGATTCTTGATCGAATAAGCCATATGTATATTGTGTATAATGAAAGGTGAATAAAGTAAATGATAATAGCTGTTATAGAATAATAATGATTCAAGAACAGGCTGAATAGCATGTTGCAGAAAGGAATAGTCCGGATGATACGAATATGATAGAGTCTCGAGAAACTAAGGTGTGAAGTAAGGAGCTCAGCATTTCGAAGGCTCCAGTAAGACATGTTCAACTATTTAGATTATGGTGATACTTAGAGATAGATAGTAGAAGGCAGCTTTTTTTCGTAACTAAATTTATAAAATTGTTGATTATAGACAACTTTTTTGAGTATGCCTGATTTCTTTCACTTTTTTAATGTCGGCTTCTGAGAACTATGATCTCCTACTTTCAATTTATCAGTCGATTATAGTCATCACTCGTTTCCATTGAATACCTGATGGTTCCTGAGAGACGCTCTGTCTTTGAGGCGATACATGATATATATTGGTGACGAACGAAAGAATGAGCCCTGGGGTTATGGGTTCAATTTATGCTTAATTCCCAGGGGTTCGAATTGCTCAGTAAGTCAGAATTTCAACTTTTCAATTGTAAACGACCGAATGGTGTTTGTAATGAGGTTGAACAATTTTTGAGGAATCTCATCCATTCACATAATTGCTCTCAGGAGATCACGATCGGTTTGAGATCAGTGAGGTATAACAATGGTAAAAATCTGAGGACACATCCCTAGGATGGATAATTTGCAGTCAAAATATTTGGACTGAGGGGAAGTTGACTGATAATATGGCAAAATCAGGATAGGATCTGAAGTAACAGCAGGTCATAAAATGGCATCGTTGATGTTTCTTTGGCAATTCATTTTTGACCAGAATCCAGATCAACTGTACAGATTACTTCGGTATAGTGAAATGTTTGAGATACCTTCAGAAATGTGAGATATCTTCAGAAAATTAGCTGTTGTCGTTTTTTGGGCGGAACTGAGGACTTTAAATATGGTGCAGATTATAATCTTAAGGTAGTGTAAGGATTGAGTAGGACAGATGCAACGTGTTGCAATGAGCAAAAGCCGCATGATATGATCGCTCACATTCAGAAAATCGGCTATTTCTGCAAGAGAAATAGCAGATTTTCTGACGTGACCCATAACATCTCTGAAGGTTTCCTATAATCTGAACGCCTTCTGAAATATCGGATGCTTCCTCAATTACCACTGAAGCATCCTTCTTCAGGTTCCCATCGATTTGTAGCACCCAAAATCCCTGGTGTCAATATTTCTCCAAAATCACCCATTTATGTCACTAACTGCTGATCTTTTTTCTGTATACCTAAGATCAAAATGTGCATTTATGAACAAATGCCAACAGTCAAATTTTACAATTAGTTCCATTCCAATACCTCAAAAACAAGTTGCAAAGTAATGAAATTATTTGTAAATTAAAACCCTGTTCCATATTTGTGTATATAACAAACGATGTTCGAAACGATGATGATAAGAGTATTAATGGTAATGAACCCCTCTGCATATTATTATCATTGCTATTCATCTGTATACCATATCATAATATCCAGTGATCACCTATACGAATTCTGAACGAAGCATCATACATTTCGCATAAAAAATCCGGTTTTCATGATAAGATTTCTTGTGATCAATTCGTTTAACATTGTGCATTCTTATGTTAGTGTGTGTGTTCATACTATTGGAATCGGATTCATTTGTATCATATAGAAACGAATTTAATTAAATGAGTGTGCAAAAGGTGTTTTATTAATTGTGATTATTGTGCACACACACAGACACACATGTTCTGTGCATGTTCCTTCGGCAGTGTAATAACCTCTCCGAAAGGCATTCTCAAAGCATTTCATTTTGAGTGTAGGACGATGGCGTCATCTGTGGTTTATTCCATCCTCAGTTTTGTAATCATTATCAGCGTTTTTGATTCTGTTCAAGGTCAGATCCTTTCTCATTTTATTTTACTTCACTTTTAATCACTTATTCTCAAAACAATCCATAATTACTTTAATTCGTACTCAGAATCAGTAACTCGTACTCAGAATCAGTAATAATTATACTTTCATATGGATTCTAAAGATAGTTGTTGTAACGTCAGTTATTCCTGACATGAGTTTTGTTTCCGATCACCGAGAGCTTCTGACGCATATCTCTGGGACGTGAACAATCTCCTTTTCTTAAGCTGCTAGACTGATAATCTGCAAATTAATGAGGATATTGCAATGGATTGTGATCTTTCACTGATCAAACCTAACTTAACAGCTGAGATTGTTTAATTCTCTTGATTGGCCAGTCTATCAAATGATACAGCAGACTTGAGATATCAAACATTTGAGATATCTCACTCAACAGCTAAAGATAATGCATGATCAGTATCCAATAAGTCGTTCAGGTGTAACTGAAGTGTGTGAAGATTATGATGTGAACTGCCGTAATTGGGTGATATCTGACCGATCCTTATGTGACAGTATCGATTATATCTCCAAGACTTGCCGCAAGTCATGTCGTCGCTGTTCGCATAAAATCGAAGAACGTTCGTATCATCACTCTTTATTGCTGAACTCAAATCCACATTGTCTTTATCACAAAACATACTCATTTTTAACAAGTCACAAAATTTTTAGTTCACTCTTATACTGAGATTTTAAAGTGCCGAAAGATTTCAGAATCTAATTTTTAGACCCACCACCGAACTGAGGTTTTGGTTGTCGAGTTTTTGAACTATTGAAAGCAACAAGCCTTAAAACCCACACCTTTTAGATCAATGCTTGTTTGAGACCATCAGCACTTTACACAAAATTTGCGACTGATTTCCTTAAAGCATTATTGAAATTATTACAAAGTTTGCAATCAGTCACGTCTTAATTGTGAAGTTGTATGTCAAGAACATACCAGATTATGTCTTATCTGTCAAAGTTAAACGTTTCGAACATTGTTCTGTCTTTGAATGGTATTTATGGCGTATATCTGACATTGGGATGATTGTCGTCATCTATAAATTACAAAATCTCTTTCGAAATTTTAGTTTTCCTTTGGGGGGAAGGAGGGGGGGGGGTAAGGTGGAGAAGGTGACGAGAATATTTATCATACAAGATTTTTATTACGTAATATAACTTGTTCACGGAAGATTATTTTTTACACAGTACTATTTAATGCATAAGATTCGATAATATAAGAAAGTTCATTTAATTTACGAAAGCATTTATCATTTAATAGTTCAATTGTGTTACACGACTGCTTTCATCTGCTACTTTCGTTGAAAATTTCACGCACCAGGAACTGGAAATTATTTAGGAGATAATGGGAAATTTAAATGGAACTAGAAATTGCTTGCTTTCCTTTTCACGGGCATTCTTTCTTTGAACCTAACGGACCTGTTTCATTTTTATTTTATAGATGAATATCAGTATTGTTGTTCATTCATCTGTCATGCTCCTTTATATTGTGTCACATATTCCATTTAAATACGATGAATGAAAGTCATCAATGCAACACTAACACTATCACTGCCTAATGCAATCGCAAACAATTATCACCGATTCATCATCAAATTCACAATCCTCTGTCAAAGTGCGAATGAACCTCATCCTTAATCTAAGATCGATCATAATGATCGCACCACTAAAATCTGTCGATTATCATTCCAATTGCAAACGAACGTTGCATCTAAATCCCATCCGTATCGCACAAACATGCATCAACCAGTTTTCACTTACTCGTCTCATTTCTCAGTTTGAAACAGTGAGCAATGAACGCCATCAATACGACATAACAACTACATGTTATCATCAATATAACTATCACCATTACCATACTTTTTGGAAAAACCAAAATTTTGAGGCGAATTTTCTGCGACTATATAAATTCTGAAGTGAAGAATGACTTTCAAATGCACAATTACTCTGCAGTCATTATCAAATAGCGAATTATTACAACTACTGAATACGTAATATTATCATAATTTTATCTCGAAACATTCAGGGTTTGATGCTTCTCTCGTCCCAGACTCGTTGAAACCACTGGCTTGGTTGATTGGTATCTGGAGATCAGAACACGGCGGAAAGGCAATCTTTCCAACGATACCGAAATTCACTTACGGTGAACAAGTGGAAATTTCGATAGCAAACAATCACATGAGTGCACTCAAGGCTTTGAATTACACGTCAGTGCTGGATACCTGATCAATTTGCACTGAATATTTCATTGTTCCAAAAAATTCATTGTGAAATGTCCAAATATTGAAACTTTTCTAGAATAATCCAAATTTTCAGAGAACTTCTGTTCAAAAATATTCAAAAAATTTAGAATTTATTAGTATTACAACGGAGATTCTAATTTGAAGAAAACTCCCTTATAAAACAGTCCAGAACCTCTACGCTGTCTCACTATTATGAGCTAACAGTTAATTGAAACAAAGTAAAGACTGATCAACTATATAATTAATTTCCTTTGATATGATACTAACTGTAACATAAATTAACATACGGTCATTACGATCGCAATGATAATTGCCCATCGTATTCTCAGACGTAATGATGAAATAAAAACTGGCTTTATCGAACATTTTGATGTATCATCCAGTTCATTTAGTATCTGATCTCATCTCATCTCGATAAACAATTAGATATAAACAACAACTAACTAATTGTTAAGGGCTTTTGCATGGAGCATGAATGGATTTGATGAGTTACACAGTGAGTACGGCTATATAACACTACAACCAGGCACTAATTACGCCTCACTCACAACAGTTATGAATAACGGTTAGTCAGTCCATAATCGAGAATGATCCATTCACTTACATAATCTTGACCTTTTGATATATATCACTCCGACTAACATCACCCAAAACTCCAACACTTCCCACCCAATCACAATTAAACACTTTCTTTCTCAATCTTCATCTTCCTTTTCCAGGCCACATACATTCTTTTTCACATATATTTCAGGAATTCGACGTTAATCCATCTTTACAGAATTCATTCTCATAAGCTCCACGGGTTCATCCAGCATCCTAAACCATAACTAAAGACTTCGAAGCCGTAAAGTAGGCAAAAAGTCGAGCAAATACTCCAACTCGCAGATGATCTTATTCGTTATCAAATTTCAGGATTCGTAACAATCGAGCAAGGTTTCGTGAAAGGCAATCAAGTGGTCTACAGATTACACGATATCGGCAGGATCAGTTTCAGCAGAGATTTGCCTGTTCATGATGTAGGTTATTATTATTATTAGCGATTCTCTCATTCACTTCAATATGTGATTTGATCTTCCTCTCAACTAATTAATAGAATACTAAACCTACAATGCAACCAACTAAAACATAAAACCTAACTCTACAATACCGTACTTACATAATTTGAATATAAACTGATGAAAGATTGGTGCAGTTAACATTGCTCTACTGAAACATACATTATACTTCTGTCTAAATTCAGCGATTTCGTAGTTGGGACTTCGCTTGACAAGATTACCGCCAGCTAGAAGCGAGTCGAAGAGCAGTAGGTGTAAGCCTAAAGCCAAAGGCATCTTCAACCCTCTTTCCATAAATAGCTGAACTGCAAGATTCCTTAAACAACTAGAAAATCTCAATGACTAACGAAATTACTAATCGATGAATAAACGCAATCCAAGTATAATAACACAGCATCACCATTAATCCAAATACAGTCATTATCATCTCGCTCTCATTTCAGGTGGTTCGTGAGTGGACTCTATTAAGTGACTCCATTCTACAAGCTCGGCTGGAAATGGAGACGCTTACACACGGAATGCAAGAGCATACGTTCATTCGTTATAATAAGATATATCCGTAAATCTGCTATCTTGAACAGTTCAAAGTCTTGCTTTGACAAGATCCATTTTCTTCGTTTGTTTGTACAAAAAATTTCTTCTCCTCTCACATTCCGTTCGAAGTTCGCATGTAAAGTTGACTCAACTCAACAATTTTACTTCGTTACTGAGTTGATATCTAATAATTATTGTCAGCGTTATTGCGGTAATTATGTTACAATTCAACGAATAAAGATATTAACGCAAATGTCATTGTACTGCTATTCATAAGCCTAATCTTGCACATACGGTTATTTCATAAACAAACTCCAAAGCACGAGACCCATAAATATACCAAAATAAAAACAGGGAACTGGGAGATCCAAAGTCAAGAGATATGCCCAGATGTACATGGATATTCTAAGATCTTGATCAGAACACTCAGATCTCGCATATGATATCATACAAATCTCACTGATATCCTCTAGACATCAAAAGCATCGTATTCAGAATCAAAGTAAATCTTTACCTGACCAATATACAGTATATCATTCATCTGAGCAATCGCCAAGACCTATATCACGAGCACTTCATTCTATCTGCCTGTATGCTCAGATTTGATCAGTGAGGATACCAATGTATCTGTTCACCAAAATTTTCATTGTTTGAAATCTTATAAATGAAGCCAGTAGTTATTTCATTTTTTGGGTTACTGTAGCTTTTGGAGAATCGTTGGCTCCTCGAGCATTTTTCAATAAAAGTATGTTGCAGATTGTCACACGATTTTTGAATCCGAAAAGAAAAGTTTTTGGAGAGAATGTCACCAAATGATGACAAAAATCATTTGACCCTGTGCGCAATTGAACCTACGACCCTCACTCAGAGCGTTGAAACAATTGAACCATTGAGTTTGAATACTTTTCTAGAGGCATTTCCTCCATCTCAAGTCACTCCTCGAAATACCATAACTTGTACTTTTCGTGATTTACTCGTCAAGCTGAATCGACTGACACAAAAATTATCGAAAATGGAGCCAAAAATTTCACAAAATCCTGTGAGAATGTACTCTGAACGATGTACTGTTCTAAAATCGACTCCAGCGATGTCAACAGTCGATATATAGAGTGTAATGTCTACATATCTGCTGTGAACAGAGCTTATGGAAGATGAGTAATAAAAGCTTTTGATGGATACTGAAAGCACGGAGAAAAATGGTATGGAAGCACTCGCAAGGAGACTTGTTTTTTGTCTGTTGACGACTGTCGTTTGGGGCAACAAAAGGAAACTGATAAAGCATTTAATGGATTCAAAGCAACTAAAAGCTTTATCTCTCTATTGTTGGCATCATCGCTATCGCAACGAGTGCATCGGACGGATTGTTATGAAGATGAAAGTTATCGGAAAATCGAATCGTTGTGGGTGGTGTTCGTTCAGAAGCTTGTCTATGCTGTGATCTCCTGCCAGTCCTCTTCGGTGTTGCTCTTCAAAATGCCCGCAAATGTTAGAGCGGTAAGTTACCTTCATACTTTTCGTTTCAGCAGTGTGATTATTCAGCGACTTGTTTGAGAAATTTCATACGAGTCTTGAAGAACCGTCAGCTGATCGTGAGTTGAGTAAGGAACATTGAACATTTGCATATCATTTGAATAACATGAATTGTTTTGAAGCAACCCATTCATGAGAGATGGTAACAGAAAGGATGAATTTGGGTTCGATCGGCATCCAACCAATAGTTAGCAATCACTGAGGTTTTGGGCTACTCCCCTCATTACTCAATGATTTCTAGGGAGAGGATTTCAAAAAGAGCTCGAAAATACATTCCGTTTGATCCATTGAACATGCATCCAATGATCGCTCTGAGTAGCTTTTTGCAGCAACCAACAGTAGTAAGCCAGTAATCTTTTGGGACCAATAGTAAACAATTAATGTAACCGAATAGATTCATAGCAATCGGCATATCAAATATTCCACAACCAAGCATAGTTACCGTAAATGACTTGCATTAAACATAGCTGAATGCCAGTCCATTAAATAATCACAACAATCGCTCTGAGCGATCGGCAAATCATCTACTCCATGTCCACTGTATTTTTCAATGATCGGTAGCGTTAATTGTAGAGAGAGGTGATCTCTTTGCATATTGGTCAAGCTGGTGTCCAGATTGGAAACGCATGTTGGGAACTGTATTGTTTGGAGCATGGAATACAACCGGATGGCTCGATGATCGATGACGAGACATTGGGTCAGTTCACAAAGTGCTTGATTTCATTAGATTTGTCTCGGTGGTCCAAAAAATCATCACGGTGGTTAGATGAAGAGATATAGCTATTTTCTCAATGATACACGTTTTGCCATCTTCGAGCCTACCGTATTCACAAGTTTGCCCGCTAACATATGAATATTTGTGCACCCATCGATCGAGCGGAATCTCTGAGTTCAGAAAAACATACATTTTGCCGAGCGATTTCGCTTTCTTGAGGAGACATAGCTATTTTTCTAAAGCCATCTCAATTAGCGCAGAGGCACTCATTCAAATACAATTGTATCACTATAGATCAATTCTGTACATTAATATAGCACTATAGGCTTTACGATCTTCAAGGTACTGGTACTCTCAGGTTTGCCCGGTAACATGTGAATTTATTTGCAGCATTCGATTGCTCAGAATCTCTACTTTCAAGATATTATATATTTTACCGAGCAATTATGACTAGATGAGGAGATATAGCTATTTTCTCAATGATATACGGTTTGCCATCTTCGAGCCTACCGCATCCTAACGGTGGTCCAAAATAAACTAGGCTGCATAGATCCTTGCTGACACGGATACTGATAAGTTGCGCAAATTTGGGGTGAGTCGATTGAAGTAAGATCTGCAACGGCATAAGCCACGCTGGCTGCCGAAAATACATTGAATCTTTTCTATGAAGACTGAATTCCGGGCTCGTTCCTTCAGCACGATTCTATTGAACGCACTATAAACACCGTTTACCTTGAAGCATTGCAAATTCAAAGTGATAAACAACTGTCTACAAAGAGTTTTTGAAGTCACTGAACAAATCAATCGGAAATGCACATGAGTTGAGGAATAAATTCAAACATAGTCAGGATCGCGACTAAGAAATTTTGTGAATCAGAAAGACTGTACATGGTTAGAGGACCGTAATGAGCTACTGAAAACTATGAAACCCTCACTATCAGTGGATAACAGTCATTCCAGTGATGCAATCTGATGCTTCAACATTGTGCACTGACTTTTGAACCTGTGGTTTATGTTTGAAACGTATCCTGTTAAGCTGAACTGTTAACGATCTTTCACAGTACACCAGCTTTGGGGGAAGGTGGAGGCGTCGCAGCGAAGAATACCATATATTATATTTCTCAGTACATTAATTACGTACATGATCTCTATCTGCGCTCCATCTCATTGAGAAGGTCATCCATCAATAATTACACATACCAGTCTATTATTTTATGATATCAGTAAACTCGCAATTTCAGGTTTCGAGGATGACTCGTACAACACGTTCTTCGCTGAAACAATTTCTGGGCATCATGTGCCACGCGCCATTTTAGTTGATTTGGAACCAACTCCAGTCGGTGTGTGAAAACATGATCGTTTGATCATTAGCTTCATCCATTTTGCAACATTCTTAACCATTGCAAATTCAAGCTATCGCCAGCACTGTATCTACTTTATTGTTGTCACAACGATCACCTTGAAAAACATGATAAATTTTGTGTTATAAATCGTGAAAATGATCAGATGAGATTCGCACCGGAACCTATCGGACTCTCTTCCATCCAGAGCAGTTGCTGACCGGAAAAGAGGATGCTGCCAATAATTACGCCCGCGGTCATTACACGATCGGCAAAGAGTTGATCGATGTTTGTATGGATCGAATCAGACGAGTGGCTGAGAATTGTAAAGCACTCCAAGTAAGATCGTGCACAACTGCGATTCAATATCGAAATGATTCACCTTGTAGTAGAGTCAATCTCACCAATTCACATGGACAAATACTAGCACCTCAGTTGGATGGATGACTTACCTCTGTCGGCTTGATTTTCACCCAAAAGAACAGCTCTTCTCAATACCGGAGAAGTGTCGGAAGCCATGGATCATTCATAGTCGCAACCGAGCAAACGTATAGATCAAATGAGCTGACATCTCGGCAATCCATTTAACAAAAAAAGTGATTCCCCATCTTTCACTACTTACATTTTGAGCCCACAAATAATCTTTTCGATAGCTCTCAAGACAACATTGTAAAACAACAATCGAAATTGGAAAATAGCTGCCGTATGATGAGAGATTTTTTATTAGGGATTTTTGGTGTTCCACAGTTCGGGCGGAGGCACTGGCTCTGGCTTTACTGCACTGTTGATGGAACGACTCAGTATTGACTACGGCAAGAAAGCTAAACTCGAGTTTTGCATCTTTCCAGCACCGCAGGTTTCTGTGTTCTTCACGATATAACATAACACTTTTTCATGTGTACCACATCTGAGCGCTGAATATCAAAATGTTTCGCAAAAAAGTTTCAGGTTTCAAATGATCTCTTTTTTTGAAGTGAAACAGTTTTCAAAATGCATCAAGTACAAGAAACGAGGCTGTTTTCAGATATCAACTGCAATGGTAGAACCGTACAATTCAGTCTTAACAACGCACACCACTTTGGAACATGCAGATTGTTCATTTATGGTTGATAACGAGGCAATCTATGATATTTGTAGACGGAATCTGGATTTACCAAGGCCAACTTATACTAATTTGAACCGTTTAATTGCACAGGTAAAGCATAGGGTGGATTGTTTTTGGTAGATTGTTTACTTCATAAAAGATCAAATTAATATTATTTGGAGGTGATCAGCTCGGTGACAGCATCACTGCGTTTCGATGGCGCCCTCAACGTGGATCTCACTGAATTTCAGGTTTTCAAACCATTTTTTCTCGAAAACAACATCGCTTCGAAATAGTCCCTTTGAATCTGATCTAATATAGCTGCTAGGAACTGGATAGTTTTTGATGCCTCCTGTTGATTGCTCAACTCATTAAGGATCAACTTCATTCTGGGTTTTGTTCAATTAATTTCCATTCGACTGCATCATAGTGATAAGTACAACGTACTCATTTAGTTATTAAGCATGAATTCATCACCAAATCTCATATGTGTATTGTTCAAGAAGAGCAACGATCACTTACAAATCTTCCATCCGATGAATTTACTGAATTACATGTCTTTTTGCAGTTAATTATCATTAAACGGTTTAAACATCGTGATACCCAAATGGAATTGACAGTCCTTAATGGTTGGTATGAGCTGAAAAAATTGAAAGAAAATTGCTCAACAATTTTTGTAATCGTTGTATTTTGAGAACACTTGAAAACAACATTTTATTTTGAAAACCCAAAAACGAAGCCAAAAAGCCAAAAACACTTGAAAAATTTCGATATCACCGAAACAATCGCCTCCAATAAATTACAGACCAATTTGGTGCCGTATCCGAGGATTCATTTCCCACTGACGACGTTCGCCCCAATAATCTCAGCTGAAAAAGCTTTTCACGAACAAATGGCCGTAAGTGCTGAATATTCTGAGAGCAAGTTTTGAATCTCATCAGCCGAAATTGCAGCAAATTTGTCATCAGTATTGTTCCGTAAGGAGTGCATCACATCAGTGGGGTTGATTGTTAACTTTAATTCAGATAAGAAAGCACTTCGTCGAGATGATTTTTCAGGTTTTCGAAATCACTCAGCAATGCTTCGAGCCCGGCGCCCAAATGGTCAAGTGTGATCCTAGACACGGAAAGTATATGGTAATTTAGCACAGATCAGTAGAAACTGAGTGAATTATCCTGAAAGCATTATGTTTCGACGATTCAGCTCTTTTAATTCAGCAGTCATTCGAATATTGGTATTCGAATGACTGTTCCACGATCTCATCCCTACTCTAGATGGACTGTGTTGAATATGCAATCGGTTCCTCAGCGAAACTGATGTGATGAGCGTTAAACGCAACGTTCAGAGCGAACTGATCACTCAACACAGCCATCGCGGAGTTTGAATGGTTTCCACGATATCCAGAGGTAAAGCCCTAATCGGTAATTACTACTTCTAATTCAATGCTTTGAATTAATAGAACACTATTTAAGGCTTGTTGTTTGCTGTTTCGTGGCGATGTAGTACCAAAAGACGTAAATGCTTCTATATCGCAGATAAAAACCAAACGCACCATACAGTTCGTCGACTGGTGTCCAACAGGTTTCAAGGTGGATTTTGCTATCTAAACAAGAGTTTTGCTGTCCTCCAAAAGAATAATGATTAGGTACTGCCTGTCTCGATTGTATCACTCCTACTCAATGACCGTTACCTGACCGCAGGTTGGAATAAACTATCAACCTCCTACGGTGGTACCAGGCGCAGACCTTGCCAAATTACAAAGAGCCGTCTGTATGCTATCCAATACGACAGCGATTGCCGAAGCATGGGCACGTCTTGACTACAAATTCGATCTAATGTACGCGAAACGAGCATTCGTGCACTGGTAAGTACCATTTGGCACTGTCTTGATGAGATGCAAATTACCGTGAGAGCACTCTATCGTATTGTAGCAGTTATGATCACACCTTGCCCAGTATTTACCGTATTAGGCAGGTCTCGATTCCAGCATAGTTATAGCCAATTCGTCAGCATGCACCAGAAAATTGGAGAACTGAGTAATGTGTTTTTGAGTTTTCGAGTTCATCCAAAAGTTCGGACGCACTTTTCCAAAAGAAAGTCTCATTAATGGAATCAGGTATTTTCTTATAAACCTGGGATCGTGATCAGAAGAACTTCTCAGGTATGTTGGCGAAGGGATGGAAGAAGGTGAATTCTCAGAGGCTCGTGAAGACCTGGCAGCCCTGGAGAAGGACTACGAAGAAGTTGGAATCGATAGCAACGATCCAGATGAAGAGGATGCAATGAGTGAATATTGATCTTCGAATGACTATTCCATGATCTCATCCCTACTCTAGATGGACTGTGTTGAATATGCAATCAGCTCTTTAGCGAAACTGATCTGATAAGTGTTAAACGTTACAGTCACAGCAAACTGATCACTCAACACAACTATCGGCGGTGTATGAACGGTTTCCACGATATCCAGAGGTAGAGCCCAAATCGGTAATTATTAAGTTACGGGTTTGATTCCCNAGGGGGGGGGGGGGGGGAGGAGGAGGAGGAACTTTTGATCCAAGCCGAGTGGTATACCAAAAACATTGATGTTGTGGGCTGTGATATGGCTTGCATCTAACATTTATTTGAATATTGTAAATGATACTATTTTCATTATTATTTTCATTATTACACGATTCTTGTTAAAGTAAATCTTCAGAAATCTCAAACGTTGTTTGTGATCCATTTTCAGAAGAATATCAGTCGGTGTATAGTCAGTGAGAGTATTAGTGAATTGTAGTTATATCATGCGATGACTTGAATTTTGCAGTGCTTTTACCGATTGTTTCTAGTAACGATAGGTAGTAGAATATTTGGGTGAAGTGTTGAAGTCGAGGAGCGAACGGGATAAAATTTCCAATTGAAAGCTGAAAGCAAAAGATTGTGAAAGGCGATTTCTGTCCTTGCGATTTCATGGCAGTTTGAATTACAGAATACGTCTTGTCGATAATTGAGAGGCCAGATTTTAGTCTTCCTCTCCTTCTTTCAATGAGTTCACGTTGAATATTGTGAAATTTCTCAATTTTCATCATTTTCCTAGTTCGAAATGTATCGTAGGAAAATGACGAAAAACTGAAATTTTCAAATGTTTTCCATCGGAGTTCCGCCTTGCCCTGTAAAAATATATTTTCTTGGTATCATTGGTCCTGATATTCTTCCTTTCCTCCGAATTTTTTCTTCTGAGACAGACAAAATTTCAATTAATTTAGTACATAAGCCAACTGTGACTATTAAGCGTCACCATTGGTCACGCTAAGCGGCATAATTCTCGTAACTTATCAATTGATCTCAATACTTGAAACGAATTTCTGTACTACTGAATCTCGGCTACAACATGATATATATTGTGACTGTAAATTTTCCTTGTCAGTTGGATAACAGGTCAAATTATTTCTTGAATTTTTGCATTTAAAGCGAAATCAAGAATCTCAAACACGTCTCGATTGCTGGCAAATCTATGCATCATGTTTTATTCTCCTGGATCTGCGTTATAAATTAATATTTAATTTTCCCGGATTCATTCCCGTTAAATGGGTAAGAAATTCACATTCCTGACCAAATCAAATGAAAATCCGAATCCTATCATTTGACAGACTGTCAGCATTCCGAATGCGCGTATCCTCGGTTAATTGTGCAGATGGCGAGTGAGTTTTATATGCGTGTGAATTTTACAGAGCAATGCAAAATCTGTAAACTTCACGTGGTAACAAAACTCACCCGACTTTGCTGAGTTGCCACACGTTTCCTCGTGAAGTATAAAATCCGTCAAACTTTCACTAGAAATCATTTATTCATTAAGATGTCAACTTTTAATGAGACTTCCGAACTGACTGCGTTAAGATATGAGGGAGCAATGCCGACGAAGCATTCCAAAAATGTTTATTACTAGGCAGCAACCAGTGCACTACAGGTGACAGTGTGTCTAACTTGAGTCTAGCACTTCTCGATTTTAAGTTGTTTGAAGAAAGAAACGGGTGATATCAATGAATTTCGCTCAGTTGTTCGTATTTCGATAAATGCTTGCGACACTTCGGTGGTGAGGCTCAACCGAGTTGGCTTCACCACTTCTTAGGTTTAGCGAAACATTATTCGAGATGTTACGTAAATTTTCGCGATTGATGTCTTAAAAATTATTTTTGGTATTTTTTTCTTTAATGTAAACTGTATGTGCCAGTTGAAGTAACTTGAACATAGCATATTGCGCTCTTTTTTATTGTTGTCGCTTAATGAATTGAGTAACTGCTTCTGTACCGCTAATATTACGGTTTTTCATTCACTGTATATTATTTTTGTTAATAATTATCTATTACGATCACAAACCGACCTATATCAACCTATCATTGATAAGTGTGGTGTGGTTGACAATAAGTTTAGATTGATCAGTTTCAGATTCAAGCAATCGGTCCCGTCTCTCGGTTAGTATGGAATATTCTATACGCAAAACGATTTTGCCAGCATTCGTCTGCTTTTTAGCACTGATCGTATTGCCCGCATCGGTAACTTATTCTTCTTTTTTTGTTGTCTTTCTCATCTTCATGGTTTTAGTCATGAACAGGAACAGCTGAAACCAAAATCATGGCCCTGCTTGCAATGTATTGGCGATTTTCAATTATTGGAGAATGAAGATCGGTTTGAGTTGTTTGATGTTGACGGTGAATCAAAATTCAATTTGAGGCCAACTTCGAAGACACTCGCTGTCGGTGCATATGTCCGTCTACGCAGTACTTCGCCTCGGGTTCAGGGAACAGCAGCGAGGATGATAACCACAGACGTTACTACACAAAACCGAATATCAACGCACTACTTTGGTTAATACTTTTGCTTATTTGGTTCCAAGGAAATTTTTCAATGAACAAGTTTCCTTCTCAATTTCAGTGTTGATTTTCCCTGAAACGATTTCAGTGAATTGACAGTCTAACTTCTCAATTCATTCGTTATTTTGAATGCGTCATTTCCGATCGGTTAAATATCGATGATGATCATTTATCGTGATTTCGATCGTTTAATTTTCAGTAACCCACAGACAGTTGTCAAGAATAACGTATTGAACATCGTGGACGGAAAACATATGGATGCATTTTTGGCAAATTGTGATTGTAAATATGAATCGAGGAATACGGTGATGCTGAAGGTGAGTTCAGTTCCTGGCTGGTTTTTTGTACACATTCCAGTAATTCTGAGTGGTTTTAGATGTTTTAAAGTTTTTTAATTTCCGAATTTTTTGCGGTATCATAACTTTAGGTTGTGGTGATATTTGTCATCTGCGTGGTACTGGTGCTGGTCACTTATATGCTGTTTTTGATGTGTTTGGACCCGATGCTCAGAAGGCAAAGACAGTCGATACCTTACAGACAACACAATGATGAGGTTTGCATTTGCTGATCGTCAGCTATTTTTCAGCTTCTGGCAAAAATGCATAATTCGTGCCGGGCAGCATTTCAATAATGGTTGCAATTTGATGGTGAATGGAAAGGATTATCAAGACGGGAAATTTTATTCATGTGATTAATTTTAAGTTTTCGAAAAATTACTTCAGTACGCTATTGGACTGAGCAGTGCCTTTCGGCTTTGTTTAATTTTCGATACGTTTATCCATTGGACGAATAAAACCAAAACAATGACTGTTTTTAGATGGAAGAGAACATTTTCGCACGAAGTTCGAGTCATACGGAGATATCCGAGGGTTCTCCATCTGTAACGATGCGCAGTCGAGGAAATAGTCAGTGGTTTGAAAGAACTGATTTTCTTTTCATTTCTTTCAGTTTTTTGTTTTGCTTCAGAATAATGCTTTTGGTTCCTTTAATGACTTCATTGCGTACAGTATTTGTAATGCTTAGCGTTAATTTCTTTTGTCTGAATGGTTATTGTACGATTTTTGGATTTGTATGATTTTAAGAAATGGATTTCGGATAGCGCGATTGAATAAATTTGACGTTGTTTGAATATAGCTGTTTCTGTAACGGGTTGTAAAGCGATGAACTGAATCTACGTAGTGTTTTTATAGGTGGTGTTTTGGAGCGAGTGGAAGCAGAGAAGAATCGTTGGATGAGGAAAGTGGAAGAACAACGAAAAAATATTTTCACTGATCGAACGATGCTGAATTGAGACGATGTGTATTTGATATTTCGTTTATTATCACCGTTGCTGATGTGATCGATTCATTCTGATTATATTTTCCTCTTTGTGATTATATTTTAAAGTTTCTCAACCTGATTATCCACTTTTTTTTACATCAATGTCTCTTTCTGTAAGTCGTTTTGTGTGGGTCTAGAGGTTTTTTAATGTTGAAATTCCGATACATAATATTCATATTTACTTTCGTCGTATTCGTTCCACGTTGGAAATTGTTCATTTCGTTTTTTTTTTGTTTTTTGAATTTGCTATTTATTGGTATTGCGTATGAAGATTGTCCATTTTGTCTGTTACCACGAGTGTTTTCCTTCTCTCATTTCTATCAAGCTTGTGCTGCAGGACCCTTATTAATAGCTGGTGTAAGAATCTCTAGATATCTGAAAAAAATGTTATTCAAAATATTTTGATTTGGGGTTCAAAATATTTTGAAATTTGTGATGTAGTGGTTACCTGAATCTGTGTAAAAACAAAAAGATGAGTCGAAAAGATCAACCTTTTCCTTCTCATATAGGACTTCCTAAGTTTCCGTTGCTATTTACTGCTATATTTTCATATGTTTGATTTTATGAAACGCTTGTAATGCTCATATGATGATTTGTAAATATGAAAACGTGATGGAGCTTGCAAATAAATAAATTCAAATTTTATATGCGTGACTGATGCATACAATACGACAGTTCACCGGAGTCAAACTCACGAATAAGTTGAACCAAAAACAAGCAAAAAACACGATTTTGAAGATTTCATCGAAAGTTCAATCAGGTTAAACTTCAGCAAAAACAATGGATCTAAGAGAATTATTGTGTGCTTCATAGAATGCTTTGTGCTTACTTGAATACTTTATGGTTTCCCGACGTTATGCACTTCACACCAAAGAATGTTGATTGCTCAACTGGTTGTCCGATATGTGCGATCGTTAATCCAAAAACAATGACCTCGTAAATAATTTTAATAGTTCTTCATAACTTTCTCATTCAGCGATGAATGAATGACCACTATTATCTACTAGATCAACTGATAAAGATGATCGCTTTGATGAACACGAAAGGTTCTCTTGTCGATGAATTATAAGCCCTCAGGGACAACTCCTAAGCGATCAACCCACCTCTTGATCAAAGGAAAAGAAACTCTTATTGGATTAATTTATCGAAGAATCACTGATGATAGCCATCTTACAGCCAAAGCATTTGCGATGTCATAGTTATTTTCAAGTTTATTTGCAAACATCAGATTTCAACGATATGTCGCTCGATTCGGTCTATGCTAATGTGATCATTCGAATTCAGCCATTATTTTCTCGCCTATTCTTTGCTTCATTTCCTTTTCGCTGCAACGGCCTACCAACAAGAAGAAATTTTTTAAAATGCCAATTGTATCTCCAGAATTTCGGAGTTTCCAAGTTCTCCTTAGCGGGAAACAAGCGAAAACTTTTTTTATCAACATCTGTTTCTTGGTTTCTTGTTACGTTTTACATTGTCAAATGATTTGTGCATCACATCTCGCAGTGCTGTCCATTGAAATTCACTTCGTCGGGTGTTCTCCACAAAAAGAAATTGCTCACCGCGAAGTAAACCACTCTACTGATCGATGGATTTCAAACTTTTCCTATTACCATCGAAAAAGCTTTCAAGTAATTAGATCCGAGGTCATTTCAATATTTCTTCTCCAATTCTGAACCATCCCTAGAACAATTTACCAACGGCTCTGTTCACTGCAAAGCATCATTTCAGTTCTTTCTGTCTTCTTAATTTTCAAACATTTATTTTTTGGTGAATAAGCAAGAAGATGTATGGTAGCATACGGGTGATTGGTTCAATAAAATAGCAATCATAAGTAGTGAATTAGATGCAGTAGTTAATATGATGTGTATTCTCCGATGACGGATTATTGAGTGAATCATTGAGCTGAACTGTTTTGCGGAATGAGCCAATTCTCAAAAAGATCGTCATTTCATGCAGACTGAATATAGGCTGTAGAGATAATGTTATAAACTATAAATCGGTGGAAGCGGTATCGCTTGCGTTGAACATCTTATATCGCTTAATAATTTAAGAAGAGGAACGATTGAGATATCGTATAAAAGAACATGATGACTTCTCGATCTCGGTAAGACGTGCCAGGAGTTTAACGCTTTCGATCAAGTGTTAATTGGAAGTTGCTTGGCCATTGCGTAGGTACTCGTTGCCTGAGTTATAGGTCAGATGATTACTAGGCAAGATATGGTAGTGGTGAGTGACAGCCTCGTCTTTCGGCTGTACTAATATTTTATCCGCTTTGCATATATCTTGATATCAAATACAGGCGTTTCTCGGTATCTTGATAATGACGTTATTATTTTGTGTCGGTTTCGTTTGAGAGAACGGATCTGACCCATTCACATGCACAGAATGAAATAGATTGAGGCAAGTATATTATACGAGCGTCATGACGAGATATGTGTAGGTAGTTCTGATACGGCGATCATTTGTTATCAATTGATGATCTGTTCATCATTAACTGTCCCATCATCGAACTGTATTATAACTCTATCGTTTGATCTTAACCTGCGAATAACACCTATAATTATCGCACCTCACCGCCAAGAACTGAACACACCGCATGATAAATATCCTTATTATAAAATACGATCGGCAAAATTATCACCGCGTACAATATTAATGTAAACACATAGTGCACCACCTATCATCGAGAGTATAAGGTTAAACTATCAACTCTTAGGAGGTCTTTTCCACGCAGACATCGATACTCTTAATGACCGTCATAAATCACTGAAAGTCGGTTGTGCTGTTGGTAGAAGGCAACGAACTGATCAGATGACTGCTGCCAAAGGAAAACTTTGCTCATTAATTATCGAAAGCGTTGATTATATTTCTCAATGATGCCAGATGGTGATAACAGATAGTTGTGATCGCTGCATTTTACCGCATAACTTATTGCTAGCCGATGGATCTCATGGCTGCGATCGAAGATAATTGATTACTCTTACACTGGGGCTTTGACGATAGGTGGTGCATTCTTGGAATACCGTATGAGTCGGTTGTCTTACGTACTTTTGCACATTTCCAGCCACAGTAACATTACTATTGGATGCGATACTAATGCCCGTACTACTTCCAGGGCGATACTAATGCCCGTACTACTTCCACTTTTGCATAAATTAACACAGATCTTCAGATTAGCAAACTGAAATTCCCTGTTAGCTGGGAAAAGATCATTTGGAGATTACGGACTGTAGAATTTTATAGCAACCGCAATTACTGTAAAGAAATGAGGACAGAATAACAAGCAGTACAACTTTTCTTTTGATCGCCTTTCGGTCTAAAATTGCAGTATTGTTGTCATTTCTTAGCTTGAAATGAAATCTATTTTCAAATCTATTTTCTTTGTATCGCGAAACAGTCACCTCAAAATCAACAATGTGAAATGCTAATCTGAAAGTTGATTACTGAAGGGATTATCAAACACTTCACGTAGAATGCGATAAGATGTAGTAGTTATATTCCGGTCGAACGGCTATTGAGAAGGTGATAACGAACTTATCAAATAACACCTCAACAAGTTTTTATCTCAGCCATCATACTTTGAGCGCATATCATCATAACGATGTGATATTCCCTAAGCAGTCGAAATGTTCTGTTGATGGACGCAGTCAATTTGGGTTCAAAGTGACATGTAATGATAAGATTCGAGTTTGTGTAATGAAATTGAAGTGCTATTCAGTGCTTTTCGTTCATTTTCGAACACTGAAAAGTTTAAAAGTTTCAAAATTCGCGAACGATTTCACGCCGCGAACATCTTTAGATTACAGACCGGAGTTCTTCACCTCGATGATATAGCGCACCTCGGACTTTTGCTCTTGTTCAAAAACTTATTACGATTTCTTAGCTTAGATTTATGGAACTAAACAGAGTGTATATATTCGAAAACAGCACCCTTTCATATTCTGAACTGAACCACAACGGAATTCCATTTCCATTACTTTGTGCTCTTTGCGAACGATTCGCTTCTTCTGTCACTGAATACAATCAAGGTGAGAAATGATGACATGAGATAACACTATCAAATCAACTAATCATATCGCATTCACACCTCATTATTCAATAAAATGCTCACTCCTTAATTGCATCATCGCGTTTAATCTACACCATCGACCATTCTGTCGACTGTTTGTCTTACCTGCTGAATCTGTGCTCTTTTCGAATTTGTTACGCTGAATTAACGCATTTCAAGCAAGTTTCATACGAATATTTGTGGCGATCGTTGTAACGAATACACAACGGATCGATCGCGCTCGCTCATCGTACACAATACGACAACAATTTCACACTTGAACGCTCTTTGATTTTACCGACTTCAACCACTCTGATCATATGAAAAGGCGAGAAGGAACATGGAAAAAATTCGTTGCATGCGTTGGCGTACTCATCACTACCTTGATCATTGCTAGTTTTAATCACATATACGCATGGCGGTCACTTATATTATTTACGAAACTTTCAACTACTTGTAATATTACTTCTAACATTAATTTCTCCGTAAAGCTTTCTAAGTAATTACTTCAGTCTGCTACTGTTCATATCAAAACTGTTTGCTAAGCATGCATGAGTTTGAAAGAGCGCCGCACAAGTACAATTAATTGTGAACGGCATTCATATGTAACAACCATATACAAAAAACATTCCATGCACTCATCAATAATGCAATTGCACAACTTGGAAAAGACACTTCTCATGAATCATTCAAGAAAATTGTGTGACTTAAAATTACAGTAGAAAGTGTTCGTGAGCTTCTGAGAGTGAGTTTGTATTTGTGTGATTTGGTCGTAACAACATCAAATCCATAAATTGAATTTTTTACAAATAACAAGCCAGTAGTTTCATGGAGATTGCTGCCATATGATTCCGGATTATCGGTATATCGAACTTGTAAACTTGTGAACATACTAAATCGAAAAAATTTTATGAATGACAATCATCAAATCGTACACGATTACTAGTCAATTCAATATTCATGTGATCAATCTTCAAGGATACAAGAGACCAAATGCAATGACTACAGTTCAGTGCATGCTTATACAATAGAATGCTTAACATTTTAATGCTTAACATTCGCTGTGCCCATTCAAAAGCCACAAAACTACTAGTCAGTTACGGCATTTAATAGTGCAAACGTAATCGCCGCAATAGAGAAGGATTACTGTAGAGTAGGCGTTCTAATGGGCGGAGCATGACGGCTTTGATGACCAATGAATGACCTCGGTAATAGGCACGATGATAAGCGCGTGTTCAGAAGAGGCACGGTTGATAATGTATCGGTTTTGTCTTGGGAATCGACAGCGATTATGATTCGGTTGGAATCTTGTATTGTTAATCGTTCTATGACTATTACAGGAAAGGAATCTAACGGCGCCATCGCTATGGGTGAATCGAAGACTATTAGCTTTACGAATATTATGGGTCAGGTAAGACTGATTACCTCTATCATACCAGTCATTGTTTTTCGCTATCACTATCCATGATATGTCTGGATTTTTTAATCGAAAGTATTGATTTTTGATTAATTGAAGGGTCGAGTAAATCAGCTAGGTGGCGTTTTCATTAACGGACGTCCGTTGCCTCAGCATGTTCGTGTGAAAATTATCGAAATGGCAAGCAACGGAATAAAGTATTTAATTTTTCCTTATAATTTCAATCTATGTCTACTAATTAATCAAAAATTAATTATTTATGATTACGAAGATATTTAGCAAAACAAAACTAATAATGATATTATTATTATTTATTAACACATTAATAGTAGATGACAATAATATTTTAAAGATGGAATGCTTATGAGAAATATACTAAAATAAAGAGATTTTCACTTGAGAAGAGAGAAAAATGTTTGAAAAAGAAACGATTTTTAAGGCCCTGTCACATCAGTCGACAACTGCGTGTTTCACATGGCGCAGTTTCGAAAATTTTGAATCGTTACGCTGAAACGGGATCTATTTCGCCAGGACAGGTAGGTGTGCCTGCCTTTCTAGCGTTTGCCTTTGTCTTTCAGTCTGATCGGTGTCTATTGAACCGTTTCATAGCCGATCAATATTGTCATTAACAGAATCAGTACTTGATTCGTTCGATGAATTTTCACGCTGCTATGCGCATTATATTGGAATTCATTGAAATAGTAATTCTACTCGAACGTCAGCCCGTCTTATATATTAATAGAAAAACACTTAATCTTTGCACCTATATTTCTGAGCTAATGATTTCTATACCCATATTTCTGGGCTTCAAATGTTGCGCAATCAAACGCGAATTCAAATTTACAAAAAGAAACTAAACTGCGCGGTTCTTATCGAAATCTAACTTTGTCGATAATATTAGTCATATGACGACTGATGGTCTAACTAACAAATAAGACGGATGCATAATAGCACCGAAATACTTGTAATCCTGTCCGAAACATAAGGTGTTACAAATATATCCCGCTGAGAGATTTATTCTCCATTCTTTGCTGCTCACCTTTTACGAATCGTTTTCGAATTCACAACTTTGTTACGCTTCAGCTTAGAATCATGATCAATCAATATTCATATGGACGGCGTGACTATTTTTTTGATCTTATGTTGTAATGGCCGCACGGTTTGAATTCGTTTTCATTTCATTTCAATGTAAGGAAATAATTCAATTTACCAAAAATTTTGCAGTTCTTCGCAATGCTTCTGATCCTTTATCATCCATCAATTTAATTGAAAGATTCTAAAAAATATTTCACAGTTGCATTCATATCATAGAATCGGTGATCAATTATTGTTTATAGCATGGCGGTGCGTTTTTGGAAATTCTTTAGCTTCAATGAAATGAAATCGTTTGCGTGAATACAATGAAAATGCATGCATAATGAACGAAATGCGTTCGGTACATACTATAACAAAGTTGTATCCGTTCTGATCAATTTGTTTGTAATTGAGATCATCAGGAGTATAGTGCACAGGTTGACATTGAGGTTGTATAATATCGTCGAAGATATAATGACAGTATTAATCCCATACGTTAATCGTCTCATTCAAAGCGGCCACATAAAACAATACTCCTCATCTCAACAGGGATTTCATTTAAGATTTCGATCATGAGTCTCCAGTGCTTACCATAAACACCATAACCGGAAGCTGATAACATCTCATAATCAAGAATTTTGCTTTCAAGTTAAGGTCAGGATACAATGATCGTATACAGTTAGAAACATTATAAAGCAATGAGTTGGAGAATGGTTTCGCAATACTATAAGAATACAGGGAAGGGAAATGATGTCTATAAAAATGAATGAATTAGTCGAAAAGTTGACAAGTATCAAAATTTTCAGATTGGTGGCTATCCACGCTCTCGTCTCGCCATTCAAGCTGTCGAAAAGCATATTTTAGCTCTGAAAGCCGAACAGCCGAATCTATGTGCCAGTGAACTACGGGCTAGGCTCATTGAGCAAGAGATATGTTCACGTGAGAATGCGCCTACGGTTTCGTCGATTAACAGGTTTGAACGGTGACTTTTTTGTAGGGCATTATCTTACATAATTTTGTGCATTTGGAAGATCGCTAATGGTTTTCTTCGTAGCAATCGTAGAAACTCAGAAGCAACTAATAAGAATAGGTTCGAATTGATTTACAGTGAAAGAACGAGATACTGCTTCATCATCAAAGATTAATCAAATAGCTCAGTAATAATTCAGGCATATCCGCACAAAGCATCTGCAGAGTCCTCCGTCAAAAAGCTCTGAGAGGAGGTCCAAACTGAGTCACAGCATCGAGAATATCCTTGGAATTTCATACGGTAAGCCAGCCTTCAATTCTTCAGCTCTTCAACTGTGCAATTTAATTAATTTAGCGATCTTCTGATTCATCTAAAATATCTGAGTCCTATCGAATTTCTGGTTGGTTATACAATCAGACTATCTTATACAATGCAATCTGCTGACAAGTATAAGGATGCGGTTTTGTTGATTATTTTTTGTTTAGTACGCATTACTTTTTTTCATCGCCATAACAGCACGTTCGAATAACATGCTGAGTTTGAATCGGGTGTTATAAAAATGCACAGTAATTACGGAAATTGTTAACGAAGAGCGATGTTCGCTTGCATGACAGTTTTTGAATTCAAAACCATCATTGCTGACATATAACTGATTGAATTAAACAAAATTCGATGAGAAAACATCTTGCGTTCCGGTGCTGTGAGGCAGATGTTATAATATGTTTCAACGGGACGGAGATAGATAGATGGCTTAATGAAAAACACCCATCGAATTATGAACGCATACGAATAATCAGAATAATACCGAACTGAGCGTTACCAAATCAAATCGTAAAATTGCGCTACACGCATCGTCAGCAACCATCAATTCGAATGCGTTGTGACAATAATATGGTTCAGCAATGGCATGAACCAATTACCGTAACAGTGAATACGACAAGTCAGTGTACGGTCATTAAACGTGGACCTCCTAGGGGGTGTTGATGGGCAATTTGAAAACCGATGGTGAAGCAGAGCAGATGCACACTGCAATAAGACCAGTTGATGAATTGTTACTGGTTGATCTTCGCTATGTAATTAATAATCAGTTCCATGTGAAATTTGATGATCCATGTGATTTCAAAGATTTTGATGACAATAGTCTGATTTCAAAATTAGCCTGATTCGAAAACTGGGTTAAAATTGGCTGCAAATTTGCCCAGCTGAGTGATCTGTGAGTAACTGATTATGAAAAGCACAAACTAATGGCAACGCCGCTTGATCAATTATTATTTTGATTGTTATCGTCAGTGATATCATTGCCATTTTCAATTTCTGGTTATGATTAATTACCAAATTCCGAAATTGAGATTGACGATTATAAACTTGACAATTAATGTATTCATCTTGGTGATTTATAAGGTTGAGAATACGAGAACCCTGTGAATTTATCAAGATAGCAAATGCACATTGATCAATGCACGAATGTAGAGAGATTCAGTTGATATATTATATACGGGGTGTGGGCAGTTAAACGAGAGACCCGAAAATACTGACGGAAAAAAGGGCGTTATCTTTCGATTGAGATGTATGTGAATGATAAGAACTGCTGAGGAGTGAAATGGTCATAAATTTTCCGCGTCATTCATTTATTATATTGCTGCGAAAGTTTAACAAGGACTCATCGACACTGCCCTGTGAATACATGAAATATTAATTACTTTTAAGTTAAGTTGTGATAGCGTGGATCATCCAGATTGTGTTTTTTAACGTAGATTCACCGGTGGAAATACAATTAAAGATTGTTGACACTTAGGCTGGAAATACAGCAAGGTTTCGGTTGAACTTCATGATAGCTTTTAGGTTGAACTCCATGATAACTCCAACAAATATTATTTTGTGAGATTATTTTAATTATCTGCTGTTCATACTGTTGATTGGTCGATTCATCTATCAAGGTTTACATAGCGCCGAATTCATTTTCGTGTTAGAAGTGCTTTTGAGCCAAATTGATCGATGAAATGATCCGATTTTGATACATATTGCGCAATTTGATTAACAACTTGGTAATGATCACAAAAACAACAATAAAACAAACGTATGCATAACAGATTGATTCTCGACAAAAACATGTGCGACATGCGGATAATGAAATAAGTGAGTGAATAGGATTAACGCGTTTATCCTCACAGATGTAATCGAGTACAATTGATTTCGTTCAATTGAACTCTGGAGCGGAGCGGAAAACATGCAAGGACACCTCGTTGGCATAATCGTATTAGTTTGGATGCGTGCATGATACCTTAAGCGACTCTTCATATCTTTAAGACATGAATAAGCGCATTTGTTTGATATTGCTTAAGTTTTTGATCGCTTTTGTAACTCGGCAATTACTTGCGTATTTAGCAACTCTAATGGAACATCTCGCATTTTATCGGAATATATCAATCACCTGGTTCGGTTTCTTTGGTGCAATTTCTTACACGAATATCTTATGATCTCATCTTGGATTTTCTGATCAGTTGTCATTTTTTGACTTTATTTCGAGATATATGTGACTCTAAATGAAGTCAGTTAACGAATTATCAGCCGTATATTTGTTTTTAATATGTCTGCGCCAATTAAAGAGAATGATATAAATTCGAATTGCACCAACAGAACTGCGCAACGTTTATTAGTACATTTGAAAATGGTAATAACAAAACGAACGCATTTTCAATAGTGATGCTGTCATTACTATCAGTGGTGAATGAAGATGACAATTCAGTGAATGCAGTGACACTTGTAGCATTCAGACAAAAACATTGAGTAGGATCAAAATGACCTATCAGTTGATAAAATGTGATATCATCCACGGAATTATCCGTCCACCATCCATGGAGTCATCCTCTAATAATCACGTAAGCTTCATCTGATGAATAGAATTCGAGAATAATTTGGAGATCTGATGATAGGAATTTCCGTAATGAATAGTAGAAGTTGCTGGTATTACTAACTAACAACAGTATCATAAAACATTTAGGTGTTTGGTTGGTTTCACTGAGAACTAACAAGAAATATTCTCAATAAATTATTAGTGAACCTGCGTCATCGTTATTGTGAACGAATGTTTTGATTGGAGAAAATATTCAACGTTCTTTATTATCTATGACAGTGCTTGTCTCCTTTATCGTAATTGTCTATCGGAAACATTTGGTTGTTGTAATATGGAAGCGGTAGGTAGGTTAAACGAAACAGCGCCAAAGGCGTTGAATCGATTTGTACCGAAAGTTTTTTTTTGTTGTAATGATTACCGTCATTTATTATCTAATTGAATGTGATGCCATTTTTCTCCTTCGCCAATTCCTTCCCTCACTTAACAAATTCTCTCATTCAGTCGTATCAATTCTAAAATTCAATTGTCGCATCTATCTTTCAATCGCTTTACATACCATTTTCTTAGTTTGAATCCATTCTTGATAAGGTGACTTCTCATTCAGATAATTGTCATAAATGTTCCACGCAAATGGAATCAGACCCTCGTATCATGCATTCCACTTCTCACACCACTACATTATCAATGATCTTGTCATAGTTGCTATTGATATCTACCTTCTTCAAAACATCAAAATTTTATCTGCCCATTTGTCGTTTACGCTACGCTTCTCCACTCATTTACACACCCACCGCAATTCTTTCGTTTCTATCGCACACCCATACACTTTCATATTCATCGATCTTTTGCAATTGACGAAAAAGGGGTTAAGTAGAAATTGGGAGAAAATAAAATTCATTTCCATAAGTATTTATAGACAATAGATGATCTCAAGTAAAGTCAGGCAGCACATCTCCGGCTTAGCAATTAAACAAGTTGTTCGAACAGCTTGGTCGAACAATAGTTCAAATGTTCCTCTTCATGTCCCTCATAAGAAAAAAGTTCCAACTTCGCACAATTTTCCAGTACTATTCACCGGAAATTCATTTGTCATCCTTGAAACAAATCCTGTACAATTAGTCATTTACCAAGAAAAGTTCTCAAATGCTAATCAAATGGTTTATTTCAAACAATTTTCAACCTGATTTCTCAATAACGTTACGATCATTTCAACCTGGTTCTGCATATTCTTTGCTGTAAAACAGCTAAAGTGATTTTTGCTGTGTAAAACATTGTTTGTTGAATGAGAATGGAATACTGTATAAAACTGCAAACTTATTACTGTACACAAATAAGAGCAAACAAGGGTGATGTATGCGCATTATAAGAATTAGTCGGTGCAGTCACTTCGAATCAACATCACAACAAGTGATGTGTCGTACATATGATAGTGTTGTTAGTAGATGCGATTGAATACGAATGTGATTTGCTTGACCAGTTTCTGATTATTGACTGTAACATCGAGGGGATAGTAGGGATTATGTTATCATTGGAGATTTCTTCAGACGTTATTGAATAACTTTTGTAATGAAAGACTGCTGCAACACCAGTAATACTAAAGAAAATAACTTTAAGATGAGAGTAAATTGGAAACGCCGGAAGCGAGCTCATCGGATGACGACGATTCCTCAGTGGTACACGTTGACGATGGAACGGATTCAGTGAGCAAAAAAGCAAGACGCAATCGTACGAGCTTCACGGCTGAACAGTTGGATGCACTTGAGAATGCATTCAGAGCAAACACTTATCCGGATCAGGAGGAACGAGAACGTATTGCGCATACAACGAAGTTGAGCGAGGAGAAAATTATGGTTAGTTATCTTCATGTTGAGATGCACTTGAAATCCTACACTTATTTTAAAGCCCCCCTCACTACTGCTTTTACAAGTCATATGTAATATCTCATATGTTTTTAGACCTGGTTCAGCAATCGACGTGCTCGTTGTCGTAAGAATCTGGCGATAGCACCAACCAATACGTTCATATTACCTCCTCTCGCACAAGTTCCTACCACACAGGTAATGTTATCACTCCGCTCTATGCCTTATAAACTGATCATATGAGTGGCTTGAATCAAGTCAGCATTCACTATAACGTCTCTTGATTAATACTGTAAACAGTTTCCTAGTCAGCACAGCTCCATTTCTGCGCATTCTCACAGTCAGGTCCCTCTGTTCATTCAAACGTGGAATACTTACTTTACAGATGGATTTGTATAAGTTGCCTAGTAACTTCACCTCTTCGTTACAGACGCCGTTGATGACAATGTTTCCGCAGCCAATGGCGTTCTTTCAACCGCTCACAATAAGCCCACAGGCCATGAAGCTTCAAGAACAACATTCGCCGATAATGTATTGTCATCAGTACACGACAGCTTAGGTGCTGCTCAAGTGACAGCGTTGTCTATCGAGGAATTCCGTTTATTTTGCATCCGTTAGACGTCTACTATCATTCATTTGCCCACAGTTTGCCCTCTTTGGATTTTCTACACCACAGATTCTCGACAATCACAAGTTTTACGGTTGAGAGGAGAACAGGGAGAGTCGAACCTTATCGACGGTTAGACAGGTGACCGCGGACAGAAATCCATGACACACAGATTTTCTTCATAATTCTCGTTGTTTTCATGCTCGGAAGTTTTTCGTTCTGAAACACATTCCATGGACTTTTCAGCAGTGCGAATGACAGTCTTCAAATTGACCATATTGCCTTTCTTTTTTCAATGTTACTCACTATCCATTACGTGTATTTTTGACTGTATGTGATTGATTCGGTAAGCGTGTGAACGCTTCTGTTGCTGTTGTTATATTAATTTGTTACTTATTTCTTAAATTATTTTGGTCATTTATTGTTCCATTTGTGTTCAATGTATTTGTTTGATATTTCGAAGTATATTGTGTCCCATTTCAAATTATGTGAAAAAGTGCAATTATATGATTTCAAAAGAAGCAGACTTCAACATGTACAACATTTCACTTCAACATGTTAACACAATTTTTTTTGATGACTCGTTTTCACAGATCGCACGGAGGACAGTTTCATCATTGAAGGATAAGGACATTTGCCTTGGGAATAATTGCCCTCCGGACGGCCTGTCCTGGATAACATGCCTACATGGTATTTGTCTTCGTACAGAGAGGCCGAGGTTAAGGTTCATGCTTAGACTTGAACTGACTTTCATCTCGATATCGCGAGACGGAAAACAGTCTAAAAATAAGCCTTTTTTTTCATCTAGTGGCAGATGACTTCCATAAGAATGATCATTTTTGCGCTCGTATCTGCGACATACTGCTCTAGAATGCTGCGATTGCGTTAATCTTATGTTATCCACTAAGTTTTTCGGTACCTGGAAGGAATAACGATCATAACAATGTACTGCGTCTAGATATTTTCATGATCATAATGGCACATCTGGGTGATCATAATGGCAATTGCTAATTGTTTGGAAGGATTTGTTTCTTTCAATCACCGACTATAAAATGTGGATTGATGGCTAATCTTGCTCTACTTTGCAGCGACTGATCATCTTCTTACGAAAGTTTTTCGCCTTTCGAGATTTCGGATTTCGGACGTTGTAAATCCATTCGCAGTAATAATACAGTCTAACAGTCCTGCTATATTATACACGTTCCTCCACTTGATAAAGAGTGCGATATTATAATGTATGCATATATACCACCTTAAGGTGATACGGTGTGATCATTTTATAGTTTCATTCCCATGTGAGACAATAAATTGGGAGATGGTGATAGATTTTGAATGGATATATGACAGGTTAAAGGTAATATGAATGATGTTAATGTATTGTGGTGTGCATAAATATGCACCGGCAGGGAATGATCAGTGGAAGAGTTCAGATATAGCAACGTAGATAATGTCTTTATGAATGATATGTTCAGCATTCATATTTGATTTGATTCACACATTTATATCGATGACGGATGAGATATCGGATATTTGAGTGTTGATTTAATCATTTATAGACATTTATATGGACATGTTGCGTAGAGGTGTATTGGTTATGTGATGTGTCCTTTCAGCTATTAATGCGAGATGGAGATTTACGTCTGTAATTTTGTGAGGGTGATTAGAGTAATAGTTATTGCTCATGACCACATTGTTGGAGAGTTGTTCGTGCTGGTTTTATTACTGGTTGAGATGAGCAGTTTTGAGGAGGCAGACTTCGGTGACTGCAAAGTGATGATCACGGATGCGTTGATCCTTCTATGCCACAAAAAATGACGCTCATCATAGTACTAACAGAACTGCAAACGGTAATTCATGATACGGTTAGCATCAAACGGATTTTCCAGTCCTCTTCCACACGGGGACAACAGAGATTTGCTCTCTTGGCACTGAGATGAGGGACATTGATTGTTGCCCAGCCGGTGCCCGCGGTGGCATGATCAAGGGAAACCTGATTTGTGCAAGGAAACGAGAGCGTGACAATGACAGCAAAGACGAACAGAATATGGGCAATCCCTCATTCAATTATTCCTTTTGTTATCGGAATAATTGGAGATATCATCCATCTAATGTTTAAAGAATTCCAGGTATTTTTTGAACTGTGACATTGGACGTCGCTCAAGAATGAATGTCATTAGTCAATTCACTATAACGATCGTGTGTTACTAAAAAAAGCCCTTAAGCAAAATCATGAGTCATGCTGAAATTTATCGTGTTGCAGTGAATGCATCAAGCCGGGTTGAGATGAGACGAGGCGAGGCGAGTTGAGTTGAGACGATACAAAGTAATTTTTGAGTTTTTGAAAAAAACTTCGAATGTCAGTCGAGCAAAAAAGTTTTCTCAATAGGGTTATTATCGTTGTTTTGTTGATGCACAAACGTGTGCTATAAACGAAGAGCGAGGCCGTCGTGGTTGAATCTCAATTTTTTCAATAGCAGCGGCACAGGGACACAAAAGAAGTGTCCGATAAATTTGTAAATTCAAGAGTGCAATAATTGCTAGACGTTGGGTTTAAAATCGAATAAGTATCCGGTAGACATGTGCGCAAGCAGCAGGTTAAAGAATTGTGTTTTTGTAATTTAGATGAACTCGTTTAACGTTATCATTGACACAAATTTATGTGTAAATGAATATCCGATGAATTCGTGTATCAGTTTATTGAGTAGTGCAAAAAAAGTTATTTATTACTTAAGTTTCGATATTCTCACGTTTTTTCGTTAGTTCGAGTCGTATCATTGCGATTCGCTTCGAAAATTATCGCCGCCGCAGCGTTTGTTTTGTGAACACCACACAAAAACATTTAAAACAAATATTCTTCTGCCATTATATGGCCGTTGATTGTTTTTTCTCTCTTCTTAAATCAAATCAAAAATTATGATTGAAAATGATTAGTATCACATTGAAGTGAACAGGAAAAATAAATAAGGGAATATGTAATTATCATCATCATCATTTTACAAACATAAATCTGCTGAACATTGAAAACAGTCACCTTCTCATGCACTATTCATGACCGTGGTGATTCTTATGAGTTTATCGGCTCGGCTCTAAACGTGTTGAAATTAAGTTTTGGAATGCTCGTATTCAGACGACTTTTTTTTCAATGAAATAATCAAAATTCAATGGAGGAATTTAGTATATGAACTTATTCGTGTGTTAATCAGCAATTAATGTTTTATAAACATGATGCTTCTGCGCAAATTGGCATTATTTGTTCTGTGAATCGATCGTAATCGCTCAATAAAGACACACTGTGTGAAAAAATGCCGCAATTTATTCGCGACCATGGAAATGTGTTCGACTAATTGTAACTATTGAGCCAGTAGAGAGCATAGAACTTCTTTGTTTCGTTCGTGTTGCTGTGTGAAATGCTTAAAATTTTATCCGATACTGCCTTAACTCGCTAATGCCTCAAATTATTTTTGTCCTAACAAAACATTTTTTTTTGCTTTGTTTCCTCAAACTGCTTCTGAATTTGAATGCCGATATAAGAAGTGCTTCTAAAATTGATGAAATTTCATCAAACATGGTCTACATAAGACGTGCAGACCTTTCTGCGAGAAAAGACATTATGTAAAAGAGGCATGACCTTTAATGCGAACAAAAATTAATCAGTTAACGCAGTAAAGAACGAACAATGATAACATGATCAGTTTATTTCGGTATACGACGATGGCTCTAGGACAATTCCATTTTCTGTTGACGAACAATTCCTCTTCGTCAGGTGACAGTTCATAATTGTCTCATATGAGTGGAATATCTTCTGTAATTGAAAATCTAACTTACTGTTGTTAGTTTTCAGGAAAAGATGTTCTCTGCACATGCGAAGTTGACGTTACGGTAGTTGAGATGGTTTTTAAGGATATGAGAAGACAGGAAAATGAGGAGTCCAATTGTTTCATAAAAAGAATCTGATCGAACTTTCAATATAAGTTTGAAGAAGGATCCCTAAAATTATCGTGCTCTCTCGAGACCATTTGTTCTGCTTTGGGATATGGATCTCAGTGCTATTTGCAATGTATGATCGCATGACAGTACCGCAACGATACATGCATTAAGATGAACATGATACGTTTTATTCATTGATGTTTCATGAGAAAGGCAATGCAAAGACAGCCTATTCGCACCTTAATTATAATTATATCTTAATATCCGATCAGTCATATCTGTCGATTGCTGTTAAGGTTGACTTACAACACATCGATTGCTGCTGAAGCAAAGTGGTAGTAAATGGTTTTCAGTCTTATTCGTGCACTGCATTGAATTAGTGTTCAGGACACGAACGGCTAGCTCAACGAACCGTAGTTTTTTAACTTTTAAGTAAAGGAATTTCAATTTTGACTTCCTGTTTTCTCTGCAATATAAGTAGGAAAGCCATTTCGTGGAATGAAAATTACAAAATGTGATGTTCATCTTCGAAAAGCATCCCAGAACAAAACATTCGATTCTTCCATATTTATTTATGTATTTATTATTGTACATAAGCCTCTTCAAGATCACTCCAGTTATCACTATTATCAGTTATGCCACGATCCATAATATTACAGTAACTGTCTTCCTCGAAAAACTCACTTGCTGCAATGAACACGCGATATGAAATCTCTTTATGAATTCTGCACTCGCATAAATCAACAGAGAATTTCGTAGTTTTAGACCTACGACAAGTTTCATTTTTTTGCCTTGAAACAGTTCGTTTCTCTACCATTAGTCTTTTTCGGAAAGGTGATGATGAGTAATTTAGCGGTTGATGGTTCAGTGAACTGACAGAATGGAATGAGCGAAATAATCGCTGCTGAAATGAGTGTGAAATACGGTGGAAAACGCTTTGGAATGGCATTACAAACTCTTAAACAAACTCATCATATCTCATGAGAGCATGTCTTGCATGATGTTCTATCGTTTCTTCAACAAAAAACCAAACACTTAACGTTACCCTCAGAAATGTGTTTAGAAAGAATCTGTGTTTGGAGAGGCGGAGTGAATCGCACGCTGATTGGCTATTTGAATTTTATTAGTTTGAATTATGATTCGTGATCGCGTAAATTTGTTGAATTTGCGAGTATTTAATGGTGCTCATAAGGTATTTTTGCAATGCAACTTTAATTATTTGTGTGCGTTCATGGTTATTCATTACGATTATCTCAACTCTTTCTCGTTGTGCTTCAATTCGATTTTAAAATATCTCAGTTCAAGTCTAGATTGGTATCAGTTCCATTTGAACAAAGTTATCATCGCTGGTTTGTTTTAGCTTGAAGTGAACTGAAATTATCTCGAAATTATTTCAGAAAGCTATTCAACGTTCCACCAAAAATTAGCCATGGATATTGGCAGTAAATGTTCTATAGCGTTTAACAATATAATGGGACAGGTAATTCAGTTTTTGCTTTTTCGCTTATGTACATTCAGTTCTCTGTTGTTAAGAGCACACTGTGCTAATCATTTTCAGGGTAAAATAAACCAACTGGGTGGATTGTTCATAAACGGACGGCCACTACCACAACATATTCGAATGAAAATCATTGAAATGGCGAATCAAGGAATAAAGTTCGTGAAATTATGACATTCCCAGGCAGATGGCCATTTGCAGAGAGATATCTATCCGATTGCAATTGCAATTAAACGTTGCAAACATTCAACTGCTTAGAATTCGATCCCTGCTATCAGATCAAATTTAATTTTTAGAGACAGTATAACTAAACAGTTCGGCTAATTCTTGCGCATTCTAGAGCCAATGAGAACCACTCTTATTATAGGCCTTGCCACATCAGCCGTCAACTTCGGGTATCTCATGGTTGTGTTTCAAAAATTCTCTACCGTTACGCTGAAACAGGGTCCGTTTCACCTGGTCAGGTAGATATATATTTAGATCTCATAATACTTGATCCATTTTCAAGAGTATAAGATCAACGAGGAAAATTTGCTGGATCAAGCAGATGGTTCAATAGAATTGATTGGATCCTAAAATGATCACGTAGGTGCCTTTCATTGGTTCCAATGGAAACTTCAAATGAGAATTGGGTTTTTATATTGGGGATTTTGAACAGATTTATGAGGTTAAGGTGTCCTGTTGGATTTCGTGGTCATGTATCAACCGTTACTGATGCATCTGTGATAACATCTGTGATGAATCTGGGTATCAGCACAACATCTGGATAACGCATGGCATTAATGATATTGGTACACCACTCGGTTTCAAGCAAAACTTTCCTCCGCGAACGGGAATCGAACCCGCGACGTACCAATTACCGGTTGGGGCTCTAACTCTGAGCTATCGCTCGAAACCGGGTGGTGTACCAATATCATTAATGTTGTGAGCCTGAGCCAGGCTATGATCCGGCTTGTACCTATTATCTAATTATCTGATAACACATGGATTTGTGCTTTCGGATGAAAGGATCTGTTATATCGGATTGATTGCAGATGCTACGTTGTCGTAAGATTAAACTGGCTGTAGAAGAGCGCATTAAACGTCTCCATCACGAACATCCTTCAATGCACGCCAGCCAGATTCGTGAGCATCTGATAGAGCAACGAATCTGCGCACCAATCAACGCACCCACACTAACGGCCATACAGAAGTTAATAAGGTTGGCGAAAAGATGATCTATCGGTAACATATAGCTGAGGTCGTTCAGGAATTGGTGAGGTCGTTCATCCAGAAACCAGTTTGATTGGTGACGCTTTCAGGGGTGCTAAATCAAAACTGTTGAGCTGTCGAGCCAATCACGGCATGTCTTCCTTGAAACATAGCATCGAAGAAATTCTCAGTTACGGAAACGGTAAACACATTAATATTTTCATACATTCTTTTTATAGGCAAATTTCAATACGAGTCATCAATCTGTTCATATTAAAACAGTTCTGTATGCCTGATTATGAACATTCATATTCTCTCGCTTCCGGATAATTTTTTCCTATTCTTAAAGAAATTAGATGGAAAAAGGATTCAATAATCGAAAAATGAACGAAACTATTTTACGGTTGAGTGGGACTGAATTGGACGTGAAATTGTTCGCCTTGTTTTGAAGGCAACAATTAGAGCTTGTTCCATCCACTATTTATTCATCGATTCATTCATTGGCATCGTAATTTAATTCAAATTCAATTGATCATCGTTATACCGCATCGTTGGCATTTTGAAATTGCCATCTTCAAATAACCATAATTAAATTCGTGAAATGTTTTTAACATTCAATACACTGTTGTATTACATAAATATGGAATGCTTACATACTATATAATTGTGGCAATTGCTGGATATAGCAATTTATGAGTGTAAAAGTAATCTATCACTAAAATTACGTATTATTACAAATGATTAGCCATACATTTAACTTTATGTTTACTATAATATCGCACAAGAATCCTACATTAACAGTCCTGCGAGGAGCGAAGCATTTAAATGTTGTTAAGATTAACATTGATGTAATATGACATTGATATAGAGCAAAAACGCATCGAACACGTAATAATATTAAACGTGAAGAGGCAATTGAAGCTATTGAACTGTTAATTGTAGTGTTTAAATGGGCAGTTGCAATTGAATAGATGATTGAAGGCAAAGATTTTGATTGTTCATGAAGTGATGCATGTCACAGAGAAGAGCATGACCATCAGTAGACTGCGTTAGAGGATGTTCGGGTGGGGGCTTGATGATATTACGGTAGTTACTTTCTGTTCATGCGCAGAGTAGAGAGATTGAAAGTCTTGCGATTACGGTATGAGCTGAAGGCAGTCAACTAGCTTGAAGGCGTCAGGATATGATTGAAGGCAAAGATAGTATGCATCACTCCGATCACTGATTAATGTTCGATTCCTGGATATCTATTCATCTCTATCCGTTTCGTGAAGGAGAGCCGTCGCTCATATCTTACGAATAAGTTTATCGCATTGTGATATTATTGCCTTGAGTAGATTTAAGACTGTTCTCGATATATAATTATAATTAGCCGATCTATACGATGTATTCATCACGGTTATTCGTTTCGGAGACTCTTTTGAATCTACTGCTATATCATGTAAATTGCGGGGATTGCCTTCAAGCTAACTGATTCAGTGAACCGTTTTGACAGGCTCTTATATGATCAGCATCCTGTGATCATCGAGAAGTGCGATGGAAACATTCGAATTTCTGAGATACAGTATCCATTGCGCTCACGATCAGCATATTCATGCGTTGCCATCTACCCACCTTTTGATCTTTATTTGCTCTATCTCCTTGTACCATTTTGCAGTACACTGTGTACTCCGTAAGAATATCAATTATTGAGTATCATGCTATCAATGTACTGCATATTTCATATATGCTGATAAAGAATTCTCGATTTTCGAAATGCACTAATTAATGCAACGAATAATTAAAGAAACCTTAAAATCGTCCTTTTGTATGACACCCTTATGAGTGTAGCTATGGATCGTATTCAGTATAGCCAACATTGCGAGATTCGTCTTACCTAAAGCCAGATGAATATTATTCAAACACGATCATTTCCAAATTATTTTCACCGATTCATAATATATGAGTAACTTGTCATTTCCATTCAACTAAAATGATTTTTTGGTTGTGTTCAGAACATCGAATGAGAGAGGAAAATCCGTCCAACGATAGCGCCAATGCTCGAATTCGCCGAAATCGCACAAGTTTCTCGCATGAACAACTTGAACTCCTGGAAGCGGCATTCAACGATAACACATACCCAGATCAGAAAATCCGACAACGAATCGCTGAAGCCACAAAGCTCGATGAAGGCAAAATACAGGTAATGGCGTAGATAAATGAAATTCTGCAACTGAACGTCTGAATCATCTGAATTAGTCAAGTAAATGAAAAGCGATTCTGATAATTTTTCCTGCAACTCTTTTGAATTTCTTGCAACTCTTTACGATGTATTCATCGCGTTTATTTGTTTCGGAGACTCTTTTAAATCTACTGCTATCTCATGTATTTTGTTGGGATTGTTTTGCTCCTGCAAAACACAAAATTCACAACCATTTCAGGTTTGGTTTAGCAATCGTCGAGCGCGCTACCGTAAATCGTTTTCAACCAATGCAACTACCTTCAACAATCCTTTTCTGTTTCAACCACCTCAATCGCAGTGTTTAGCTTCAGCTGCACTTCCTCCCTATGGGACCACGGCCGTGAATGTAATTTCATCCTGCTTCCCACTAAATACTGTGCCAATGTTCTATTGAAATCTAATTTTTGTCGCAGCTGCTACTTGTGAAATGCGCTATTTGAGTGTATTAAGGCATTATTACTATGATTATGGTGATGCTAACGAATCAATCATGAAACTCTCAATATCTTCCAATTCACATATAAAACTTCAATGGTCTGTTCCAAACTTGATTGAATCTAGCCGAAAAAAAGTTAAATCTTTTGAACAAGAAGCAAAAATCTTCAGCGATGTACTTTTGCACCTCACCAGGGTAGAGTCAATGCATTTTGCTCGCTAGCTGTTTTTGCTGCTAGTGGCGTCTGATCACTGATTAGAAATTGCTTCATTTTGCTGATAATGTTTTACTAGCAATACCTTAATGTGATAACGTGTTATCAGAGTTTGCTTCTCACTGCTCTTCATACCTGCTAGCCATTGATTGTTGCACTCATCTCATCAGCCTTCTTGTAGAATACTACTGCCAATACCTTAAATGAACGTCGTCGTTACTGGTCATCTCCAATCGATCTTTTGCACATCTGTTGATTATTCTGTCAGTGCCTTATCACCTACTGCTCTCATCTAATCCTAAATAATATTCAAACTCAATTGGTCAATCGCTCAATTCTCCATGACAATTTTATCATTAACGATATCCTCTTTGCTCGTTACTGTTTATAATTTTGAATGAACCGAATAAATGTCCATCTTCTTGATTTTATATGATGATGCTGTGAATGCATTGCTCAATCAAATTTATTTTCTGACATAACGATAACATTGATGTGGATTCCAGCAGTGGCGACGCTGATAATGATCAACTTTGTAGATCCAGAACGCTGATAATGTGCAAATTGCAAAATGAGATTGCTTATATGTTGCAGAATGACTGCTCGATAGCAGTATACCGCAACACCAACATCGATAAGCCGTACGTGAAGCATCTTTAAAAAAAGATGTGCACGTTGCATGTTCAGACATCTTATGAGCACGCCACAATTCTTTTACACAATACCTTAAAAATACCGACTATTTTTGTTGTTAACCACTCCGTGCTACAAATATTCATTGATATTATGGTTAGGTATTGTCGAGGTTATATCTATGCGTCTTCGAAATTCACTTTTAGTGGCTCCGTTTGGTGCCGTTTCGAAATCACTGGTATAGCTCAAAGCTCAAATGAGAATTTACACTGAGAAATTTTCACTACTCTGAGTTGACGTTAAGCTCATGGACGAACGATCAATTCAATAAATTCACTATTACTGCAAATGGCTGGCAATAGTGATGTTTCCAATAGTCAATAACGATCAGAACTCGGACGTTAAACGATTGCGATCTGATGGACGTTATTAATAGCTCTTATTAATAGCTCACAATTAATTCATGTCTATTGCATATTCAACGTAGACATTAGTAGATCGATTTCATTTTTTAATGCATTTTATGCATTCTTTTTATGCATTTTAAACGATCACATTTGAAGCACTTGTAAGGCATGCTATATGCCAACAATCACGCCGATAGAAAATCTCACTTCAGAGCCCCTAAAATATATTTCTGCAAATGCGCTTAGTGTTTTCATATGTAGAGAACATTATATGTTCTGGAAATAAACTATGAGTCATCTCGATTTCAACTGATCATTCAATGCTTACATTCGAATGTTTTCATTCAAACGTGACGATTCATCCTGCTGCTCCTGATGATATCGTCAACACTGACAACGAGAGTTGAAACGTGATCTGTTAGTGGCCTGCCGATATATACTTAGCAGATTGATCGTCTCGTGAATTATTTTCCTAATTTTGATCTGTGATTTCAGAATAGATTTACTTTCGATGCCCAAAAATTGATCGAAATATTGCTGTTTCAGGATATGTATCTGAATCATTTTTTCGTGGTATTCGCCGTANTTTTCGCGTTCACAACAGCCAAGTCGTCAAAATGTGTGGATGGAGTGAACAATGTCATTAGAGTTGAAAATATTGCACGACGTCAGTTGAACATTTATCATAAATGCGATAAAATACACAGCTAAATATGTTGCAATGGTAGCAAACGTTAACAATAAAATCAAAAACCAAAATTAAGGATGCTATCAGAAATGATTTTATCACTGATGATCCATCGTAATCATTAAGAGGAAACCTAAATGCCTGTTCCAGGCAAATGTGAATGTCATTTAGAATGCTCACAATTGTTTTACTGATGTCGAATCAACGTCGAATTTCGGCAATAAATGTTTTTAGATGACTCCATTATAAAAGTGCACGATGTGCAGTTACTCATCTATGATGTTGACAAGAAACCGAACTGTCACAAAGGAAAACCATTAGTGATACTGCCTGGATATATGAGAGCTCGTTCAGGTCTGTCATTCTGTTCTACGAGAAAATATTTTGATGCGGTCCTTTAGATATTATTACAGTTTTTGCTCGTCGGGCCCATCCCATAAGAAACTCAAAATGATGACCACAATTGATAGTGTGCCGCTTGTATGCCTAGTTTGAAGAATTACTTTTCGAAAAAATGTGAATTTAATGGCGTTGGATGAATAACATAGCTATTATCACTATGATAATGATAGTGATCTTGATCTTAGGTCACTGAGGTCTTAGGTCTTGATCTAGTGATCTCACTGATCTTCTCTTAGGCGCTGATTTATCTTAGGTGGACATCGAGTCACGAGAACTTGAATAACACCAGAATAGAGATTAGCATTTTGAGAGCCTATCTGGAATCGCGGAGATCATGCAGAGATTGAAGTGATACTTGTCAATTTAGTGCATTCAATTTATGTGAGCATATCGGAGACGAGTACTGTAAGTTGCGCGAAAAATCCGATAAGATAACGCTTGAAGAGTTGTAGGCTGAAGAGCTCAAGAAGATAAGACTGGAAGATTTTAGGAAGTGCCGATCTGCTAAAAGGCTTGAAACTAGCGGATGGAAGACTAATGGTGGAGCTGACGTTGGAGCAGGATTCTTTCTTTGTTGGCAAGATTTGTGAACAGGGCAAATCGAAGAACTCTTATGTTACGGATGATACTTGGTGAGCTGAACACTGCAGAAAAATTTTATCAATTAGAAGACACCTTTTAAAGCAAGGATTCTCTATGCAAAGTTGCAAAGCATATATCACTCACGTTCGATATCTCTCATACTCATATATTACTCATCGAACGTTCAGTAACGATGAAATAGAACGTGCTCCTACCAATTGCGGAATGTCGTTTCTCATTTAGAAAATGATCATTCTCTAGTTCAGAATCTTTTCCATCAGTGTTAATCAAAAAATACTTGTTTCTGACAGAATTCAAGTGAGCTGATCTCTTGAACACGGGGATTCAAAAACTTTCACAATTTCTCGCCATTGAACTCACTTCCGCTGCCATTCTTAACATTTCAACCGTTCTTCAGTGCCTTCGATCTATGTGAGCGTATCGGAGAAGAGAATTGCAAGTTGCTCGAAACTCCGGGTAAGATAACGCTTGAACAGTTGCCTGAGGAGTTCCAGAAGATGATTTACTTGCCAAAGGGTACCACTGACCTCATTGCGGTTAGTTCGTCAAACATTTTGCACCACTCCACCGACAACTTTTAACACTCATTTTAGCAGCAATGAGACTTTGTTTGGTTCATTTTGATCGCATTCTTCCTTCCTTTGCGGGTTTTCGCATTCAGTAGCAACAAATGCAACACCACCCATCAGGCATACAACTTGTGCTCATCATTTGCTGTTTGTTAATGCATTGCTCCAATAACAACTTTTGCATTCAGGGCGATTGGAAAATGCAGATTCAGCTAACACAAAATCGCAAAGTGCTTGGCGGTGTCCGAGTCGGTAAACTCAAGCAATGGACGACAGTTGCTGTCGTAGAGGAACCCCATCAAGAATTATAGATTATTGATAATTGATTACCTAACTTTAAGCTTAAAAGACCATGATGACACTGCGCTAGTGAGTCTCCGATTAGGACAATTTGGAATTTATTGAACTGTTTTGACCCACTGGAAATCAAACCGCTAAAATCTTAATCAGTATCGCTAACCTATCGAACTCTTGGACGTTTCTGACAATTCAGTACGTTTTAAATTCCGGCGAGTTTGGTCCACTATGCTAAACAAATACTACTGAAATTGAAAAAATGTGAAAACAATAACAAATACTTATTGAATCATTTAAATATCAGCATTAAAACTGCCACTAAAACATAAACGATGAAGTCTGTGATATTGTCAATAAAGGAACAATAACTTATTAACGAGCAGCAAAACAACCATAGTAATGAATAATATCACATTAAGTTGCAACAACCAACATCATAACGCAAAACACACAAATACAGCTATCATTTGATTTAGTTCATGTTCAGTGATGAAACAAACTGATCGTTGGCACCGAAATATTTGGAACTAAATAACGTTCACCTCAGATTCCCATCTCAGAGTAAACCTGCTAGCTATTCCCTTTGATTTCCTCATGTCGACCCTTTGATCACCTGATTTATCCCATAAATATCGCCTTTTATCTGTGTAGCTAATGGCATTAGTTTAAGGAATCATGAAAGTCCACCTTCGATTACTGAATCGTCAAGCATGCCCTCCTAATGTTTCACTTCATTACGATCTTACAGTATGCAACTGTAAGCTAAACTAATTTCATATACACACTCTTCATTCAGTGAAGTGAGTGTTGGTTTAATGTTTCATTCAGCGAACTAAACGAACTGTTCAAAAAACAACGTGAATAATGTTTTAACAATATCGGTTGCAAAAGAAAGAGGATAATAAGTTACAAGTAGGATTGATATCATATTCACTTTAGTGCACATATTGGTGGTGAAAACAAACTCAAGCCTTTTCCCTCATCGCCGACATTTTTTTCTCCGTTTGCGCTATATTTATCTGAAACGTAATTTATGTTCATGAATATTGTTTTCGATTACAATATAATAAAAGTACACCAAATGAATATCCACTCATCTGCGCTCTTTTCAAATAACATTTGAAGATTCCATCAAGGACTGATGCCAACTGAGTTATCCCATTCGTAAAATCTTCTCATTTCCTTTAGGAGTTCACAGAACTCTTAGGCTCACAATAATTCTACCTAAACTTTAATAAAAAATCAACCAATCAAACAACTACTCACCTTATCACCTAATGATAAGGCCATTCCTTGACTCTTGGCTCGTATTCGGATATGACCAATTATGGGACTGTTCGCATCTGAGGGGTTCGTCTTCTCGATTGAAACGTTTGCCAAAGCATCCTCACCGAATATTGAATGCGCACAGAAGTTAGCAGCCAGAAAGCCGCAGTCTCCGTCTGAAATATTATCATCATTTCAGTTTAATCACTTGGAAAGAGAACAAACTGCGAACCAGTTTCATCGATACGATACGATACCACTCAAGCTAGAACGCTCAACAACTGAAGCTGTGCTTAAAAACAAATACTCAAACACTACGGGATTGCATGACAATGTTCAGAAAATGAATTTATTGTAATCATAGAACATACCCAACGCTTCTTCGGTTGTCAGCAGTTTCATATTTGTAACAGACGAAAGGTGTGTGAGGAACGCTCGTAGATTTGTTATCGGTGTGTTTACATTAACCTGGAATTCGCTCAAATTTTAAATCTTTTACCTGAAACTCCGAAAGTTCCTAAAAGCTGAACGCACTCACCTTATTCTCCCATTCAAAATCAGCCCACATCTGCCTGAATTCTGTATCAGTACAGTTGCCTGGCACAATATAATCCATTATATCGATGTGTATATCTTGTAAATATACACAGTTTCGATCCGACGTTGAACCGTGCACATCGTAGGCGATTGCTGAGAAGATAACTCCACTTTCTGTGGAAGCCACTTTGACGGTTGCCTTGAAAATTAAATCATTATAACAACTCTTAATTACCACAACTGGTCAATCTTCTGAATATAAGGAGCACTTTATAAAACAAATAATTAAAGGGCTTTGCCTTATATTATCAAAACTTGTCACCTACTGATGGAATTATTTTCCGCAGCAAAACGTTCACAGAATCTGATTGTAAGATAAAATTTTGAAACTTCAAACAACTAAATACTTTGATATTTGCGAAATCATGTGGTCCCAAAGTGAGCGGTGTTGGCTTATCGACCAGTTTCAAATCGCCTGCAGTCGATAACTCCAAACAAACGTTTTGCAGCGTATCTTTTGTTTGGTTCACAATTAGCACATCCAGAACAATATCGTATTGATTCACATTCACGTACGCTTCCGCATAAACTGGATCCGAAAATCCAGCCAGCTGCCTCACCTCAATTCATTCAATCACAGAAAGAGTACTGAATAACTAACGTACGCTTTCCATATAATGATCAATATATTCAAACAACAATAATCTCATCCGAACCGCGCTTAATACCCACACATTTTTACATTCCTAGACACACAGATATAAGTAATGCGATCAAGATGATGATAGAAAATCTATTCGGTGCAATAAATTGAAATCACAAATGCGAATAAATAAGAAACGAGCAGTTACCTTTCCAAGTTTTGAGGATGCGAAATCGAATTTTGTTGTCTTTTGGACAGTTCCGAGAGCTTGTGAAAGAGACAGGTCGAACAGATTCTCAGTGGCCGTAAGACCATCACCGACTCGTGGTGCGAGTTGAGTGAATATAATCGTTTGATCAACTTCGACCGATGTTGTTCTTGAATAAACGCAAATTCGTTTACGATTCAAAAGAAACAATCTAGTTCTTAGAAGGAAGGTTTCCAATATTATCAATAAAAAACGATCGAAATTAGATCATGCTCCCTAAAATTCTCTTCAATCCTCAAAAAAAAAGAGCTCTAAAATAAAGATGGAAATTGTTCACACTTCGTAACAGATTCGGTCTCGTGACGATCTGTATCCGCTTTCGCCTCCAACATCAGTTCTAAACTTTCGCGACACTTCTTCAGGAAGATCTGTTCACTACCTGGCCATTGGTCGCATAGAATTTTAACGGTCATTCCAAGACTGAAATGAAATACATCACAAAATGAACAATATTCAATAATATTTGTAATCATACCGATCCAAGTCATCTTCAGTAACATTTATTTTTGTTATACCACTTTTGCCAAGGTTGATTATCGATGCAATTATGAATAAAGCTTCTCCTGCGAACTTATTCACTTTATCGCCCTTGCCTGAATAATATGTCAATTGATGCTATTATCCATGTGTTTTGATAATATGTATGTACAGTCACTTATTATTGTTACTTGGACATCGACTAGTTGTTTTGTCAATCGCAGTGAGCGATCGCGGAATATTTATTTAATTAGAGTAATGAGTATTTACTGAATTGGTATTTGACTGCGCTTAATTATGCAAAGTATTCACAGCGACTAACTATTTACTCGGTCGACCTGCTCGCCTAGTCAGCAGAGTGGTATAAATTAAAGCTAAAACAATGCGCACGAAAACGCGAGCATTGTGACCAGCAACGTTTGATAGTCTGGCCAATCCAGGTAATCCAGGTATTTACACGGTCAAGTTATCAATTCACACATCGCTATCACAGAATACAGCTACCTTCATTAAGTTTGCTGTATTTGAGGACAAGCTTCGATAGGGTTGTTGCGAGAGAGGCTGCGATAAAGAAGTTTCCATCCAGCAGGAATTTACGCAGAGCTGGTTTCTCATCAGTGGTTGATTTCACTGAAGCAACCAGTGCCGACTGAGTCGCATACGTTCCATCGGCTGTCACCAGTTGACGAGGCTATAACCAATGCTAGTCCATAAATGATACTCAATGCACAAGCAGTCATCTAACAACAAACCTTTGACTTTGAATCTCCACCAACCACCTTCTCATTTTCTTCAGCACCTTCCTGTCCACTAACCGCTCTCAACTCACTTTCAACGATCGGTAATTCGCCGATTGATTTCTTAATCATTTCCATAACACCCACAATTGATTCTTTTGTATCACAATATTCACCGAGAATCCAGAGTGCTGCACGGAAGATCTGTGCGTTTCGAACACCACCGAACACGTCCTTAATTATATTACTCATTTAATGTCAAAGTATAATATACATTACATCCTCAATCAAATACCTCAATCACTCATATATATTACAAAACTAGCGTTTAGCCGAAATCGCATAGCCGAAATAACTCTTAATTTGTAACTCACCAGTAAAGTTACAAACGCTATCAACCTCGACTTCAATCAATCAATTATCATTACTACCCCATCAGTCCCACCTCTAATGACTAACCTAACCATCCTGATTCAAGCTCAGTCTCATGTCACAAACAAAAGCATTATTCCGATCGCTTGCTCTCTGCACCATCGATCAAGTACTCGCTCTCAACCCTGATGTAACACTTCAAGTTTTAACTCATATCAGTTACCTTTAACTGTGACAGTACCACATTTCTCAGATGCGGCAAACGCTGCACGGCCTCTCTAACAAACACGAGTACATCTTGTGCTGCCGATTCGCAATCGTCGGAGAGAAACTCCATCAAAATCGGTACGATGCTCGATGCGACATCCGGGAATTTGATTGTGGCCGAATGCAGAGTTCTGACGAGCATTTGACGATAGCGACCTCCCTCTTCTGCTGTCGCATCTGTGGAACGGCTGATCTCCTGCAATCACCATTGAACCCGATTGATTTCGACCAAACAATCACCACAAAATCACCTACCTTTCTCAAGAACATGACCATCTCTTCGACATTTCGCGACGATACCAAATCCAAAGCCAACTGAAGTGTTTTCTTTTTCACTTCAAGATCCGACGCTGATAATACTCGAAGAATGTCCATCACCAGCTCACGCAGCACTCTTTCACTTTCAGGTGATGAACGCAATTCAATCAAACGGTCCAACACGATCAACTTAAAAAAAAAACGACATAAGAGAAAAATTTCTGCAAATAAATTAAACTTCTTCATCAAACAATTCGCTGCAATTTCACCATGTTAGATGAATTTTTTCAGGAAACTAAATCACTTGAATATTCGATATAGAACTGGAATTTTTTCCAGCACAAAAGTAAGTACAGATCTTTCATATCAAATATGAAAGACGACGACTCAACTCCTTGACGGAATCCTTGATGCCTCAAAAGCAATTAAAACAAATCATATTGTTTCCGTTACCTTAATATTGTTATCAGATTCCTTCACAATTAAGTCGATATATGCCGATGCAGCCGCACGAATTGCCGTTGGTGCAGAACTCAACGTCAGCAACGTTCCTGCAGCCTCGTAGCGGACGGCTGCAGACGATGACTGTACCAGACTGTAGACACAACGAATGAAACGTGAACGCTCGGTGGGATTCGTATGGCATACCTTAAATCATAGTTAGTAGAAATGTAACATGCATTTGCACTGATACACACAAATATTGTTCACAGCCCCACAACGGGTAATTGTTGTCAAAGTGATTATAAGACGAACCCAAAAAAAGCTGGAATTATGTATTTCTCCGGGTTGATATCAATTACAATAATAAAAGTTTGGAAGGGGCATACAGCTTATTGCACCAGATCCGCGCATAAAATCGCGTATCACGGTACACCAAAAACATTATTGTAGGATCTTAAATTACTCCCATCAACATAATACGAAAAGAACCAACTTTATAGATGAGCTCGACAATGATCAGCTGAAGTATATCGCCAAATGAAGTGACTTGATCGATAACTTCAGACAAATAATCTAACGCTCTTGTCTGATCAACATGCAAAAGCATCATGAAAGCATTACGTTTGCAAGAAGCATCTTGCTCACTATTCAAAACATTCGATATCAACTCCGGGGCGTCCGGAATCAAAAATTCAAAACTTCCTGAAACCTTTCAACTTTAGAAATGGGTAATGAAAAACATAGACTCTTCCAACAACTACGCCAACTACACAATTTCTTTATTTTGACCAATTTCGAGTAATTTTAAGATTCGCCTTGTTGAGTGTGCAGCATACAAATCTGCATTCGAGTTTCCTTCTGACTCTGAATCTTGCTTATTTGCAAACTATGAAAATATGCTATTAGAATCTCGATAAAATGAAGCAAACAAAATAAATTTACGATAAATGGTGAAGATAGCAAGAACGGCGTTTCGTCGAACGTAAGCGTGACGATGTTCCAAACAAGACCGGATCGCAGGCATTAAAGGCTCAAGCAACTCAGGCTCACGTAGCTTGCATAAGAATCTGAAAACACCATCGTCACAAATAAATAAATGAAACTGAACTTATCAGAAAATAGAACACTCACCGTAGCGTGGAACCACGAATAAATTCATTCGGATGCTGCAAGTCCTTACGATATGCATCACATACCAAAATCATCTCATGCAGAAGCTTACCATCTGGGGAAGTCTAAAAGAACACAGTGATTACCGATGACCATTACCTGACTTTTTATTACATTGATATAATATGATAATGATTAATATAACCATACTGATAATCATACAATCTTCATAATTATAACCATAATTATTTCACTTTTATATTACAACCACTACCTTTTATTATCATTAACATTACAGAATTATGATAATCATCTGTATGCTCTATCATTACGATCAGTAAAACGATGCACTTTTGGTTTCCAAAAGAATCTGCCCAGGCAGAAAATCAATCAAACTGAATATCACGAATTGCACAATACAGTATTAAAACGAATTTATACTATTTTCACCAAATTTATTCTGGTATAATTGTGAGCAAGCAGGCTTTCATTTATTTATAGCGGTTAAAAGGTTCGGAAGAAAGTGATAATTAAGCACCACATGAACATCACACCTACCTTAGGGACAATTTCCCAGAAGAGTAAAAGAAGCTTCTTGATGGCATGATCTGAGGTTGGTAGACAGAATCTTATCACATACATCATCAGGCTTTGACCGACCTTTTCACCATTCATCAACATCATTATTAACTTCTTTAGCGTTTCGGCTTTCGTTTTATTATCACCTTAAAAACAAGAAGACAGTTATATGAAAAATGTTCACAATTTTTTAAATATCTAACAAGGAAAGGTCACGGAGTTATCCTGGCCTTTCAGGATGAGACATATATCATATTGTAGGGCTCTTGTAGCTGATCAAGAATATGCAAGAAATTTTGCAATTCGAATTTTTGCAATATGCAATTCGTAAATCGTAATTGAAATATGCACAAGATAAGTAGACGATGTCAGGTTTTGGAGCAAAAATCAAACAAGCACTTATTCAAACCCAGAAAACAGTTACTTTCGTCAACGAATTCATAATGCCTCCAGTAATTTCTGAGCAATTTCCAGAAGTAATGTAAACGAGGAACGACGAACACGGTTGATGAATCAGAATTATAAGTGAGTTCAGAATGGTATAAATTGAGCTACACGAAAAATATTAGTAACTGAAAAAAAAGATTAAGTGAAAAAAAAACAGAACAGAACCTTTTTCAAGCTTCTCTTTTAGCTGAACCTCCGTCGGAGGCTCGAAATCACTTGGTACATTGATCAGCGTATAACAAGGCAACTCTCCGGACGTCATTTTCGAGCTCTACAATGAAAAACTGATTAATTTACTATTAATGAATTTGATGTTAAATAGAGACACAAGTCGAATAAATGCACGTTAAACAAAATTGTTCACAATTTGTAGGCTCTAGAAATACTTTCAAGTAACTCAATATTATCGCAGGCAATGAATTTAAAAACGACTTGACGTCGATTCCACAAATTATATCAAAAAAATGCAACTTGAGTTAAAACTTATGTCGAATTTATATCAGAAATTAAAATTGAGCGATAGAAACGTGTCCAGTGAATCGTATCGCACTAATACGATACGTGTCAGCGCAGAAAACGACGATTTGAAAGAGGCGTGATGAATTTTACACTAGAATTGCGATACACACACGGGGTTGGTAACAAAAGCCAAATTGCACTTTTGAAGCGACGCGGTCAGG